ACGAACCAAGGATTACGATACAGAAGTTGGCAGAAGACTGCACAAGATATGTTAGTCTAAAGAAAGATTCGAAAAAGATAGAACAGTCTGGCGTTTCGCATGTAAGGAAAATATGCTACAAAAAAGAAAGTCAGTCTACCAAAAAGAATTCTAAAATTGCGGATTATCAAACAAAAAGTGAAATACCAGAGAAAAATAAACAAAAACTCCGAAGCCATGTTTTGCTTGCGGTGAACTTCACTAGTACAGATATTGCAATTTCAGGAATAAAAAATGTTTCAACTGTAAAAGAGTGGGTCATAAAAGGTCGCACTGCAGGTCAAAAAATAAAGACAATAAAATAAGAAAATTAAAGTCCAACGAGGTGAACGATGGAATACCCAGAAAATTTGTTACCGTCGAAATAAGTAATAAAAAAATAAAAATGCAACTCGACACTGGTTCTGACCTATCTATCATAAATTTGCATATGTGGAAGAAGTTGGGGAAACCAACTTTAATGAAGACAAATAAAATCGCGAGGTCAGTGACAGGAGAAAAAATACAATTTATTGGAGAATTTGTTACAAACGTCACGTTAAATAAAAAAACATGAAAAGCTAAACTATTTGTCATAGAAAATACCATGAACTTACTTGGTACGAATTGGATAACAAAATTTCAATTATGGGATCTACCGATAAATTCTTTCTGTTACAAGGTTGAAAGTTTAAACTCAGAAGCCCAAAAATTACTAAGGAAACTTAAGGAAACATTTCCTACTGTTTTTTCTCCAGGTTTGGGAACGTGTACCGAGATGGAGGCAAAATTCCAGCTAAAAGAAAATGCTCAGGCGGTATTCAAAAAGAAAAGGAATGTGCTGTTTGTTTCAATTTGAACAGATAGATAAAGAATTAGACAGATTAGAGAAAACTGGTGTATTTAAAAATGGGTAACACTGCCGATATACGTGAAAAACAAGCTTCAGAAAGTAAAGATGAAGTCGACACCGAGAAAAACTGGGGAAAAAAGTTACCCGCAGCCAAGGACATGCAGTATTATTAAATGATTTAAGTCAACTGAAGTCACCACAGAAAACGTTAAGAAGCACAAGATCAACAAAAGGGAAGCTAGAGGCTGAACAAATAGAACTACAAGAAGAACCTACAGAAACTGTGACTCCATCCTTAAGAAGCTCAAAGCGAAGGGTTGTTTCTGGTAACACTATGGAGGTATAAAAAAAAAGAAAAAAATAGGAAAGCGGATTGGCTATATGATGTACTTGGTGAAAGGTGAAAAATTCACGTGCAGTAACCAGATCAGACAACATTTTTCGGACGTGGTTGACAGCGGTCCCACGGAAGAAACGCTGATGGAGGTGATTTTCAATACGTTTGATCTAATAACGCCTGCAACAATTTTACCTGAAGTACGCCGATCCAGAAGAAAAAAGAAAGGCAACTGATCATTTAAAAGTGGATCAAAAAACGTAGGAGATACGCTATGATGTTGCTAAAAAAAAAAAAATGAATTTTTTTTTGTTGTTTTTTCTTCATATTTCCTGTAAAAAATGAAAAATAAATAAAGAAAACTGTTTACTCCTACGGAGTAAAGTTTTAGGGGGATGTTATAGTGGAACACACCTATTTTATAGTTAATAGACTCTCCCACCTATAATAAGTAGGAGTAGTAAGAGTAACGTGGGAGTCGCTCAGTGGGGTTGGTCAGTCAGTCGATGCCAGACGACCATTAGTCAGATACTAAAGTATCAGCGACCACAACTCTGCGTCATTACCTATTATATCAAGTTCCTAACGTTTTGTACGTCGAACCTATTTTAGGACCGACTTAGTACAAATACAAGCCTCCACTGTGAAACCACTTCATAACAGATATATTAGTATTTACCAATTTTTTTAGTATATTTTCATCTTGTTTATAATTAGTATGCATTTAATTATGATATAGGAGATTAATATGTTTGGGATTAGTTGAAGCAGTATTATGTTCTATTTGCTTGGTATTGAGACTTCTGAGAAAGCATCTTATTTGTTCATCAACTATGTAGTTTGGAATTAATAAGTGTTTGTTTTATATTCTTTAGTTCACTGTAAAAAGCATTTGTAACCGAGCCTTATACTTACAAAGGTGTAATTACATATACACACGTAATAAAATAATCAAGTACAATCTATAATATGGAATTATATATGTGTATAGATATATAAAAACTGCTGTTAATGATGAGTGCTATGAATAATAATAGGTGTTACATATTATATTAATATTCATAAAATCTATATTAATCAGGGTCAGTGTGCTTCAGCAGGTGCTTACTTTTAGTATACATATAACCATCTTTTGTTCAGTAAGTTAGGGTTATTTAAGTGTTTTAAGATTAGTTTTTCTAACAGCCATAAGTTACATCTGTCTACCTTTCCACAGTATGGTTTAGATTTCATGATTATCCTCCAGCTAATGGATAGGTTCTTATAATTTTTTTTAATTACCCAAAATACTTTGAAAGTGTTGTACACTTTTTGTATTTAATATTGTTTAGCGTCATTTGTTAATGGTAAAAACAGTTTCCAGTTGTTCTCAGTAGGACCAAAGTAATATTTAACATCATTAACTGAATTGATCCTAGCACTGCAGATTATGCCTTCAGTCATGCACTGGCCATTTAGTGGTCAGGTTACCTTTTTACAGCAGTTGTATTGACTTTTAGTAGGATTATTATTTAGTATTTTGTTTGTGTGTGACACTATAAGATGCTCGAAGGTTTAAATGATAGCTTGATAGCTGTACCGAGAGAAATGTGACACTAAAAGTGCTAGAAGAATTAAGAGATAGCCCAATAAACATACCAAGAGATGAGGCAGGATTTTATTCAGAAAGTTTGTTTTCTTCTGTGAATAAACCATAAAAAAGGGAATAGGGCTGACTTGAAGTAAAAGGAATTTAGCCAAAAAGGCCATCTGGATAATGTAAATTCACGAGGGGTGGGGAGAGATGGTTTAAGAGCATTAAAAATCAGATGAGAATTTTATTCAACAGGGAAGAAATGAAGGCATTGATTTATGACCACTCACTAAGGTGTGGGTTTATAGGAAGGTCTCTCATTAATCACAGGCAAGAAAAGTTAGTCAAGAGATAAAGAAAATGATAGCATCTGATTTCTTTGTATACTTGAAAGCCATCTGGTAAATTTCTTAATTTTAGTGAGTGAAGCTAGGTTGAGGAATTAGGCCTAAAAGAAGTAAAATGATAATATTTTTTTAGGGTTTTTGGGAACTGAAGGCAAAGTTAAAAGAATTGATTTATTCATTTGCAAATTAGTAAAGAAATGAAATTTCTTTAGATAATAGCCAAACTCCAAGTGTCACAAGCCAAAGGCTTGATGAAGAAGCTATCAACCAAAACAGTTGGTAATTGTCATGGGTTGAGAAATATCATTGACAAAAATTTTCAACACTAATTAAAATTAATGATTTCAAACTAAGCCACACCTGTTTGCACATACAGTCTAAAAATCAGATTTGTCAAAGTGACAACCAAAATTCATTTCGGTTGTCACTTTGACAAATCTGATAAGTAGAATACCAAGGGAAGTGGAGGAATTGCCTATGCCCCTTGGGCAGTATTAGTATGAGGTACCAATACAAGAAAGAAGGAGTTAGGGTGAATCGATATTCTGCTTCTACTACACTTCAGAATAGGGACCTTTCCAAGATTGGGAATGCAATTTCCAGAGTCAAACAAACAAAGGACTCACTGTGGAGATTAGGGGAATCACCAAAATCCCAAACTGCATCAGTCCCCATGCCTGTTTTGGATGGCGGTCCATATAAGCAGAAAATCAAAGCATTATTTTTCATATAAGGTTGGAATACATCATTAACTTTGTGTCATGACCTATATTAAAAAATTTTTTCCAGTAAATTTGAATTTAGCATAGGTCACATTTGATTGGTTAATCACGGCAAAGCCCTCAGGCCTATTTTTAAAAAATATTCTGCTTTTGAAATCAAATTAATCTTTCACTTGCCAGTAGTTTAACATCGTCCAGGGAGACACATTTGTAGTGTTGAAATGTAATTGCCATTATGCAGCAATTTATAACGTGTTTTAATATCCTAAAATAAATAAATAAAATATATATATATATATATATATATATATACACAGAGTACAATCCCGCATATCCAGACATGATTTTGATGTGTATATTTGAACTATTTGGATATGTAACTGATTTGAAATTTCTGTTTTTCAAGAAATTTTTTTTGGATAATTGCTTATGTTTATTTCACCCTAATGGATTGTATTGGTGCAAAAGATGATGGGAATAAGAGGAAAAGAACAAGTTTGAAGTTATCACAAAAAGTGGAAATTTTAAACAGACTAGATGTTGGTGAAAGTTCATTGTAACTAATGGCTAAATTCAACATAGGAAAGTCAAACATTTGTTAGCAGACACCCTCACTCTACCTAAACTTGACGTGACTTTGTAAGTGACATATATTGGATACATAAGCTGTCTAGGGAAATTAAAACTCAACCACCCCTAAATTAAAATAGATTGAATTTTCCTTAACCTAACAACTCATGACATTAATATTGTCTGTGCTTATAAATTAGGTAAATTTTTAGAAAGTTATTCTTAACATTGCTTGACAATGGAATGAAACTATGGATTTTAAGTTTAATTTTTATAATTAAATTTATAAATTTAGTTTCAGTTTTGAAACAGAAATTTTCTGTGTTGTGGAATCATATTTTTAAAAAGAAAATAATTATAATATTTTGCTCTACTGTTTGTATTGAACACCGTTTTTTTAAAAATAAAAATAATTGTTAACACCTGATTATAAATCTTACTCTTCTTTCTTATTATTTTAATATATATATATACATATATGTATTATAATTAACAATGAATTTTTTAAATTGTGATTTTAAGATACTATTCAATGATGCAGCAAACTGAAAGAATTTAAAATAAATATAAATGAAATTACCTGCTTTATTCGCCTCCTCTCTTCTAGTTCTTTCTCAAGTTCCTCTCGTCTTTTCAACATCCTCAATTCCTAGAATCATCAAATACAAAAGTATTATCTGAAAGTTATTCAGAACTGTGTAAAGCAGAAATAGTCAGTAATCAAGAATACTGCAAATACCCATAAACTCAAATAAATAAGGAAAAAGATTATTCATAAATTCACAATAATTTTCAAAATATTCCCATAAAAAGAGAAAAAAAATTACTTAAATGCATAAATTTCTATTAGGCATTGAGATTTTTGGATTAGTTTCTTCATTTATGTTTGTGATTAACATTTCTTCTCTCCTACCCTCCCTATCGTCAAAATGGACTGTGACTTCATATAAATAGTTTCGTTTGTACTAACTGTTCTATAGTGTGGAATAAAGCCTAATTTAGGCTTACTCTGTACCGTGTCTTTTATTACAATTTATTCCACACTATATAGATAATACTTTTCAGTAACACTATCTAGGTCTCTCAGAAATATGGACAAAATTCTGCGACCTCCTCAGATATTTGAAACTCTCCCCAGTTCGAAGAATGCTGAAAAGGATTGGAGGCACTGGTTTGCCACTTTTGAGAATTTCCTGCAAAGTATAGAACAATATGCCCTTGACCAACAAACTGTGCTCCTAAACTTTTTAGGCTCTTCAGTGTATGAATTAATTTCTGACTGTCCAGAATACAAGAGAGCCATCAATCGTCTCCAGCAATTGTATGACAAGCCTAAGAATGAAATCTATGCCAGGCATATACTATCGATACACTGGCAAAAACCAGAAAAGATGCTAGACGACTATCTTCAAATTCTGAGGCATTTAAGTGAGGATTGCAACTACAAGGTAGTCAGTGCTGAGGAACATAGATCCAAGGCCATAAGAGATACTTTCATTAGTGGACTTTTGTCCCCTAATATTCGACAACAACTACTCAAAAATGTAACTCTGGACTTTGCCACTGCCTTTGACCAAGCCAAATCTCTTAAAAAAGCTCAGAAAAGTTCAGAGTCCTACTCTATCTCCCAAACAATTGTTAGTGCTGCAGCCCCCTTTGAGGGTAACTCCCACAGCCCGACAGAAAACATAGCATCCACAGTGGCTTCTAAAACTCAAAAGTGCTTCTTTTGTGGAAACCATAGGCACCCTTGCCATAACTGCCCAGCTCAGAATGCCACCCGTCAAGGATGTGGGAAAAATCGGCCATTTTGCAAAAGTATGTCGTTCCAGGACATCCGCCACTCTTCATTCTTCTAATCCTGCAGTGATGGCAGCATCATTTACGGATTTGTTTGCTGCTACTACCCCGATAAAAATAAACGGGAGGAGGGTCAGAGCTCTTGTGGACCAAAAGTTTAATATGTGAATTGCTGGTTCGGAAGCTTTGTCTGCCTACTCTACTGAGGAATAATACTATGTCAATAGTGTTAACCTCTCTGAGCTCTTGGATGTTAGCTTATTGCCTGTTAAATTTGGAAGTGGAGAGATAAGAATATTCTAATTTTAAACTGTCAGTGCTTCCTGATTTGTGTGCTGCTGTCATCCTTGGGCATGACTTTCTGGGGCAACACGAGAGTATCTGTGTAAAATTTGGTGGAAAGAGGCACCCCTTTAAATGTGTGTGGACTAACTACCTTTTCTATTCCTCCTCCCTGACTCTTTGGTAATCTTGCCGAGAATGGCAAACCAATAGCTATTAAGTCTAGAAAGTATAGTAAGCAAGATAAAGAATTCATTACTGCTGAAGTAAACAGACTACTTTCAGAAGGAATTATTGAGCCCAGCACTTCTCCTTGGTGAGCCCAGGTCATAGTGATCACTAACGAAGGATAGTGGTGGACTATTCTCAGACAGTTAACAGATTCACTATGTTCGAAGCTTACCCTTTACCCAAGATCGAGGAATTGGTAAACAAGGTGGCACAATGCAAAATCTATAGCACTATAGATTTGAAATTCACTTACCACCAGGTCCCAATATTTGATAAAGACAAAATTTATACCATCTTTGAAGCAGACAGAAAGTTATATCAATTTTGCAGGATACCATTTGGAGTAACCAATGGAGTAGCTTGCTTTCAAAGAATAATTGATACTTTATAGCTAACAATTCACTCTCCCACACATTTGCTTACTTAGACAATATAACTATCTGTGGTAAGAGCCAGGAAGAGCACAGTGAGAACCTCAATAAATTTACGGAAGCGGCCAAGAAATACAATTTAATTTACAGTCATGATAAATGCTCTTTCTCTGACTCTACAGTGAACCTACTAGGCTACACAATATCGGGTACAATTAAACTAGATCCTGAGAGACTATGCGCACATTTGTCTTCAAAACGGCAAAGAAACCACAGTATCACTCTGAGATCTCACCCCCAATGATCTCATTCAGAACTGTTCTCCTGAAATAATAGACTGACTTGCCCACTCAAAATTTTGCCACCTTAGATTCCGACAAAAATGAATCTAGTACAGATACACCAGAAAATGAAATCAAAATTCCTTTACATTGATCGGAGTGAGCGCGTAGACCTTCTGACCACTTAACTAATGAGTAAATCTTTTGCTGATTCCCTTAAATCGAATAAGGTTATAAAGGAGATACTTAAAAATTGAAATAAATCTGGCTAGGATATAATCTTTCCTTAATACTGATTGACTAACTGCCACTAATTATTTCTAGAAGCAAGGGAGATTGTGATTAACATTTCTTCTCTCCTACCCTCCCTATCGTCAAAATGGACTGTGACTTCATATAAATAGTTTCGTTTGTACTAACTGTTCTATAGTGTGGAATAAAGCCTAATTTAGGGTTACTATGTTCCGTGTCTTTTATTAGTGTTGACAGTGTTTTGGCCACTAACTTCTGTTCCTCCTTTAATAACCTTTTGAGACTATTGGACAAAACCCTTTATTTGATATGAGGATTTATATTGTAATGCATGTGATATTCAGTAAATTTCACAACTTGTCACTTTTACTGCTGAGGCTACTTATCCAATGCACTACATGTCTAGGATGATATAGCCTAGTGAGTAAACATGCTGGCAAAATGTACCTAAGTCATTGGAAGTCATGAGTTCAATCCCTGGTTCGGTCATGTATAAATATGAACCAACTCAGTAGAGAGGTAAATTAGATAGTTACAAGTTCAAAAATACCCTAGGAAGGCCATTGGACATGACAAATATAGGAATGTTGACAATATACCCTTGTACATGAAATAAATGGTTCAATTTGACATACCAAATGTAAAAGATACCTGAAGAATGCAAAAAAGTACAGCAGCTAAAATGTATTAAATGCTACAGAAATAAGAGAACTAGTTCAGAAATTCAGGTGTAAGTTCCTATCTAAAAGGGTTGTCTGGAAAGTTCATAGGCTGATCAATATATAAATATAAGTAGACACACCAGTTAGTAGACCAGAATAAAACAGCTGGTCAGCCAGCTGCTGTATTTCTGGTACACTTGCATATCTTTTAGTCTACCAACTGGTGTGTCTACTTACATTTATATCTTGGTCAGCCTATGAATTTTTCAGTTGACTCTTGTACAGAACAATATTTATACCAAAAAATTGTACATACTTTATCCTTTTTAGCTTTTGCTTTTTGTTTTTCTAATCTTTCTATTTTTTTATCTCTCTTAATTTTCCATTCATCTATTTTTTGAGGAAGGAGTCGGGAAATAATGTCAGTATCTTCTACATTGAGGATGATGGCAGCATCAAACCACAATCCAAACTCTTGCATAGCTGTAACTTCATCTGAATTTCGGGGAAAACCTTCCAGAATAAATCCAGTAGATCTGAAGATAAAAGTCAAAATCATCAAAATGTGATTAACAGCAACCAACAAATATTAAAATCTAATTTATTGCCTGACAAGTGTCATCTTGAGATAAATTTGAAAGTAGATTTATTATTAGTGTTCTAAATGTATAATCTGTGTGTTGTGTTATCTCTAGTTTGTGATATAGAAGTTCTACCCCCATGCTGAGTGATGACTGACATTAGTAGTTGTTTGACTCTATGCAAAATAAGGCAAGTTCACTTTACCTATGTCATTACACCTCCCAAACATGAAGAGGTTCCATGCCCTTCATTGATCTGTGACTTCTCCAAACAATAGTACAAGATCTTATCTCTCTCTCTTGAGGTGTGTAACTTGTTCCTTGTAATGGAGATCTAGGTCTGGACTCATCTTCATTCTGATCTTCCAACTCCATGTTGGATTTGTGCTAACTATCCTCCATAGTTTCTTTGCTATTATGTTCATTTTCTACATCAGGAGAACTCATCCTTTCTTCCCTTTCCGGTTCCTCCTCCTCTTCCATCTTGACTTCTTCCTCATCAATTCTAGGTCTTATTCAATCAGAATGAGCCAATAAATTCTGCCCACTTGTTGCTATTATAGCCATATTATGTCCCTTTTGTACAATAAAGGTAGCTTTTTCAGGACTTGATTCTCTGTCTTTTTTGTACCACATTTTTTCATTTGTTGAATAGGACATTGTTACAGGCAATCTAATTTGTCTTACCATCGATGCAGAGGAACTTTGCATTCTACTAGCATGTGGTATATATAGTTCTATAACTCAATAATAGTCTTGGTAGGTAACTATGGTGTCTCTGGATGGGGAAAATGTTTTCAGACACATTTTCATTGTTTGCACCATCCTTTCTGCAATTCCATTCAATTACATATGGTGGTATTTTATAAGGGAGGCATCCAATTTGTTTTATTCATGAACACAAAGTTTCATCATAAAATTCAGATTCTATTTTTCTTTTATACTTACCCACAGAGTGGAAATGACAATTCCAGCATACTTGTCCTAAAGCCAAACATTTTTTTATTGTCCCATTCATGCTTTTTATCACAGTATTTGCATTGCACAAGGTAATTCAATATGCTGCATCCTTCAGAATTACTCTTGGGTGTATTGAATTTCTCAATTTTCTGTAATTGTTGCAGAAACTCTATAGATGCATCCAAAGACATTTTAGTCAGTTGTAGCCATTCTAAAATTTTGTGTTTATAAAAAACATCACACATACCTTCAATTAATTTCAACAGTGTAAACTCATCTTTAATAGTCATTTTTCCATGCCAAGTTTTCAAACTCACAGAATCTGGAATCCTCTTGTAGCTTGTGTACATACTGTTTTATTATTTTTTTCAGCTATTATTTGCTTGCAAAAAACTTTGTCCTCTCCATGATAACCAACTTCTTTATCAGTCACAAATTTCTTTTTATAATGTCAGCAATTTGTGAAATGGTCAAATCCTCCAATTCTCTGGGATACACCATGGCAAAGATCTTTCTGATGGTCTCACATCCTGTCAAAAAGAGATCCATAATTTGTGATCTTTTAACTTCTTAGCCCACATATAATCAGCAAAATAATGAATCCATGTTTTCACAAAGTTCAGCTCATCCAAAGGTGTCAGAGATCCTATCAGTGATGCCATATTGTCCTCTAGTCTATTGTGAATAATCCTTTGCTGCCACCTCACCTTACTTATAATCCTGCTTGCAACAAGACTGGAAATCTTTTAAGGGGCACCAGAACAATGATAGTTCACTGTCAAACTATATGCCTTCCATTTGCAAATTATTGCACCAACAGTGCAAGGTTGACATTGTAGTGATTTATTGATGGCTTTGTAACTTTTACCTTTACAATAAAAGCTAAGTAGGATATCTTTAGAAAGTTTTTAGCATTATAGTAGCAGTAATAAAATGAATACATCCCATCTCCCACCATGCTTGTAACCATCCACTATAATAAAATAAACATATTCAGCACTAAAGCTGAATTAGTCAAATAAAGCTTCATAAGCTTCTACTTAGAGTTGTTGCTATATTACAATAGTTAATTCTGTGACACCATTTAATGGTCAACTAATTCAATTTTGTATAATAGTTAAAATGTACAAGAATAACCTACAGTTGTTTAGAATCAACTATTTAGAAATTTACTTTCTCCAACAGCATAAGTGTACTCCTTTTATGAATTTGTATGGAATAAATTTTTGCTTTATCATTATTAGATATAACTTAAATAATTTTATATGGATGTATTTGTGAAGATTTTGCTTGTATTTGCTATTGTAGATATGAAATTTATATTAAATATTTAATAAGTATGGATAGTTTAGCCTACCATCTGGTTTACACTCTTCCCCAGTCTTTTGAACAAGTGCAGAAGTTTATCCTTTGTTTCCAGTTTAGGATTGGGTTGCAACTCTATACTTTTGACGTCTCCGTCTGAACTTTGAAATTTTATTTACTATTTTTTTTTCCTCAGTAGGAGTAGATAGGTTTTCCTATTGTCTGGTTCACACTCCTCCCTGGTCTTTTGAACAAGGGTAGAGGTTTATTTCTCCTTTCCTGTTTAGGATTGGGTTTCCATTTCCTTCTAAAGTCTTCTCTTTCACTCCCAGTAGCCTGTTGTATCTTAGTGACATTATTGCCTTGCTTGGAGTGAATTGATTAGAAAACAAAAGTAGAGCAGACTCTCTTAGTATGGTTAGCAACCAGTCTAGTAGAAGGAAAAGCCCTGAATTTAAAACCATACATAGCCCTGGTAAAGCAACCAATAAAAGGATCATGATGTTCACAAGGACAATATGGTTCCAACAGCACTTGGTCTGATGGATGTATGTACTAATTTGAATTAGTTTTAATTATCTCTATGATGTTGGCATTGCTAGAAATTTTGTTGGAGAGTATTTTCAAATATGATGATGAGTTATAGGGAGCATGCAATCTTCTGTTTGTAAAATACCTAATTTTGATATAGTGATAGCATATTATTTATCGTTAAGCTTTGTGTGGTTAAACAATGAAAGTGAAATTTTATCAAGTTTAACTAACCTATAATTTAGATGAAAAAGATAATTTACTTTATTTGAGATAACAAAAAATCTGTCAACCAAAAGAAATGTCTACTTAGTATATTTGAAAATAGTATTCAAATCTATTTCTTCTACTAGCAATATTACTTTCAGTTTTAACATTTTCTACAGACAATTAATTTTAATCATTCTCATTTTAATAAATAATATCAGATTCTTTTCCTAAGGAATTACTATAACAGAAAAATGGAATTATGGTTTTGAACAGACCGAAAAGGTTCTTGAAACCACCAAGGGGAAATAATATTCTCTATAAGTTCAAGAGTCAAGGGAGTGTCTCCCTCCAAATTGGCTTTGATTAATTCTTCCTCTTCAGTTAATTCTCCATATTCATTACTTTCTTCACTTGTGTTCTGCAAAACAAATTTTATACACAAAATTAAATAAAAAGATAACCACCTGAGAAAATATTATGGTTTCAAAATATGTAAGACAAGATGCAACAGACAATGACAAATTAATTTGAACTCCTATTCTTATTAAGCATGTATTCTTTTGGCATTGATCTTATACTAGGACATTTAAAGTTCTTGAAGTAATAATATTGATGTGCATATATATATATATATATATATATATATATATATATGAACATTACAGACAAATCCTCAATCATTTAATCGATCCTAGCCTGACATCTCTACTTCAGTCACTTTCTCATCAATGATGTGGCTTCCTACTGTTTCTTCTACACATATTTTCATGGCAGTTGTTCTGATAAGCTTTCCTCCTTGGTTCATCGGCTACAAGCTACTAGATTGGCAACTAGGTTTCAGCATTTTACTAGCTAGATGCAATCATATTTTCTGTTCTAATAGTTCTTTTTATCACACTTCTTACCTGTGGAAATCCCTTCCAATTTCTTGCTTCCCTGCCACCTACAATCTTAAAAAATTTAAATGCAACACTAATCACCATCTTCTGCTTCCTTGAATCTTTTATTGTCATTTCTCCTCACTAAAATCTTCTCATTCTCTTCTACTCCTAGTAACTCCTTGCACCCTAGTGGCATTATTGCCTTGCTTGGGTGAAATGATTAAAAAAGTAAATGAATAAATAAAACACATACTTTTACAAATGCATGTATTTGTTATGCACTTTTAACTATTTTTTATCCATCTTCTTTCTGTTATTCTCCATTGCAACTTTGAGATTGTCATTCTTTGATCTTTAGTAAGTTGTATGGATCAGAAATAATTAAAAAAAGTCTCTAGAGATTTCTGATCTTTACTGCTTAATAACAATTATCGAATGATGATCTGAAAGTTTCAATAAGAAGTAACAGAAACACACTTAAAGAAATAATCCACAAAAATTAATAACAATTGATAATGATTCATTGAAGAATTTTCAATAAGACTACATAGTTGTGGATATAATTATAGATTTACTCAGTAATTTCAGATATTTCTTTTGACCAATAATTTCCATTTTTATGGTGTTACAACATAGATTTATTGCTACAATAAAATTAACATGACTATAAAGTGATTATAAAGGATAATAAAAACAGGTAGATTAACAAATAAACTTCAGTGCATCTCTCATCTAAAAAAATCAGGATGATTTCTTAATATCTTATTTACCATTCTTTCAGTGCTTAGTCCTTCCTCTTCATTCTCTGACCTGCAAAAATGTAAAATAAAGAAGCAATACCAAAATAATTTGATTGTGAATACTGAATAAATCTAGCAAGAAAGGATAATTTTCTTTAGCAATATAAACTTCAGTGACTATCAGATTTATTACATAATTTAAATCATGTCAAGGCAAAAAGAATTCTTGCCAATAAAATGCTCAGTAGCTATCTGGAGCAATATTGTATAACATATCTTAATAGTTCACAATACTTTTAATAAGATCTTGATCCTCAATAAATATTGTGAACTTATGTGTGTGTGTAAATTTACACTTTAAAAAAAAACAGGAATGTATACTCAAACATGTATCCATTAATATATTTAAAGTAATAAGAATTAATTTTAGATGATAAAATCCATTTATTCCTTGGACATTACTATATATATATATATATATATATATATATATATATATATATATATATATACACGCACACACTTCTGGATATGATTCATAATACTAGTACCGATAATATTGAGTCTAGTTCTTTCTTCCCTTCCACCCAATTCATATCAATTATTGAATATATAAATTATTACATAAATAGTGTCTGAGTGTTGACTTCAATGTTCACTTTTACATTTATATTTACATACGTTCTATCTCTGATATTGAGCACTTTATCCCATAAATATAGCACACCTTAAAACTATATTTCTTCATAAATTATTACATATTATGAAATAATTGTATGTAATATGCACAGAATAAAGTATTAAGATTTAAATAACACAAGTTTCACTAGCTTTTATGCTGAAATTAATGAATCATAAAATTTCTTGATTATATAAATATATATATAAAACATATGATGCATGGAAATGATCAGAAAACAATAAAACAAAAATGTGAAACACACCATAAAGATAAAAATGTGACTTTTCTACTCAAAAAAAAAAAAAAATTATGACTTTTTACAAGATATCAACAACATACTCTTCAGATGTAGTTTCTGATCCAGGATCTTCATAATGTGGTCCAACTTTTCGGCCAATTTTCTTTATAATCAACTCTTGCAATTTCTCATGAAAACAGATATGGAATATTCCCAGTTTCCGTGCTAAATATCGACCATAGACTGTTTTACCAGATCCATGGACACCAATGATGCAAAATCTTATTGCAGGTGACTGAAGAAAAGAGGAGGACAATTGTTTCAATTCCTTTCATTCATCATGAAATTTTTTACACCATAATCAGTATAACTGAAATTCTTTTAAATCAATATGTAGATCTAGCCTCTCAATTATACTTTTCTTCAAAATAAAATGTTGATTTTAAAAATTACTTTAGCATATGCCTCTTCATATTTTTAATATTATAGTTTTTCTATTAAAACCAGAAGGAAGATAATTAGCTATCCATATCAATTGTTCTTATAGAGTTATTCAATTGTAATATCTATTTCAAATGAATAGTGATGTGCATGTATATGTTTGCACAAATCTTGTTATGTCTGTATGTGATTCTTTTGAAATTTCAATTAAATGTTATTTATAATTGGTACACAAGTTTAAATGATATTAAGAAAATGATAGTGAAAGATTTCAACTATAAATATATTAACAATAAATCCATAAAAATTATACTGAGGAATCAAAAGTTTAAAATTCCATTTCTTGCACAATATTAGAGAAATCTTGAAGTTTACTCACTTCTTTATTGTTTGCACAATCTGTTAGATATTTAGTTGCTTGCAAACCTTATGAAAAATTCAAAAGCAAGGAAAAAGTGTACAGGGAATATGGGTCAGCATTTAAAGACTTGTTTTTCTCTTCTTGATTGACATAGAAAATAAGTCTTTCTGGCCAAAACTGTCACTGGGATTGAAATATGGATTTATTACAAGAATCCAAAATGAAGAAAATCATGGTTAGATGTTGTTCAGCATGTCAACTTAAAAAATTTACTAGGAAAAAAGTTCTTTGTGTTTGGTCAGATTCAAAGTGAATTCTTCATTACAAACTGCTGAAACCTAGATAAACTGTTACTGTGTCATGCTACAGTGAGAAATTGACTTGTATGAACTGGAAGAGAAAAGACTTTTCACTGGACAAAGATGTCAGCTGGTGATTTTGTGCATGACAATGTTTGTTCTCTTGTTACAAATGCAATGGCGCAAGTGATAATGGATTTGTGATCAGAAAGTTCTTCTACATGCAGTATATTCTATAAACATGTCACTTTCAGATTATCACTTCTTTTACTCCATGCAAGATTCCTTGTTTCTAAAAAATTATAAAAATTATTAAACTCTGAAGAATTAATCATCTCAAAACAAGAATAATTTTTTTTATTATGGCAGAGGCAACTTAAATATTATAGAGAAGAACAATAGATGCATATATACACTTACATCAATTTTTATAAATGTTGATATACTAAAAACAGTGGTGTAGACTTCAAAGTGATATTTCTGTTAGTTTACAATATCATTAAAAAATAGGTAATACATTTGGTTATAAAAACAATCCATTGTTTGAATGAAATATGAAGTTGTAAAAAACATTTTATGCAGTAAATAATTTACATATTAACAGCTTTCTGTTAGAATTAGCAACTGATTTACAAAGTTGTATAAACAAATAATTGACGTAGATGGTTAATACAGAATACAATATTTCTAATTGTCACTGATATAATTAATTATGGATGAAGAATTCTGATTAACATTTTCTACAATTAGAGGTAATTATCACCTCCTAACCATTTAAAGGTAATCATTTTGTCTCAAACAATATTCCCTAACTTTTTTTAAATAAATGTCTTTGTTCACAAATAGTATTTTGAATATATTATGCTTAACATATTTTTAATAATCCTGTCAAAAGCAGAGGAGAATTTGAATAAGGAAAGCAGAAACCACATCACTTGAGGATTTTCAACAACAGGTTCAATTAAAATGAATAGTACACATAACTTGAAGAAAAAATAATGACATACTCAAGATGTTGATGTTTCACACTTAGAAAGAAAGCCTCTATCAATACTTGGAAGAAAAATAACAGTTAATGGACTTGAGAAAAATATTTTCCAGAAAAATTTATTTTAATAGAAAGTGTAATGGATTGGTAAATAGCATTGTACCAATTTGTATATGTTAAATAGAAGAGAAATAAAGTGTATAGTAAAGAAAGAGACAGGTGGAAGTTGACTACTGGCCACGTGTTGTAGAACAACACAATACAACAGAAAGATCATATAAATTTCAACCAAAAGTCCTTATAAAGAAATGGCATTACCATTTAACAACATCAACAGGTGCATTATATGATATTTCTTCTCAAAATGAATGATTTTAAATTGATACCTAATTATTTTTTCTAGATACATTTGGTACAGTGTTTGTTTGTCCGTGTTTTGTTTGGGGAGTAGCTTGTTGAACACAGACCTGATTTTATGTACAAATATTACCTCGGCTGGGGGTAATGATGATGGTGTGTTGTCATTGGGTGTAATTCTATACACCTGAAGGAATTGTAGGGCTTTTTCTGTGGGTGTGCCCCTAACTTTTTTCAGGGCTCTTTTCAGTATATCAACAAAGTGCTCAGCCTTCTGTAGTGGGTTTTCTACATCTAAGGACTTTGGGCCATTTCGAAAAACTATCTACTACCGTGAGATAGTAGAATCTGTCTAGTGGGCCTGTAAAGTCTATATGTGTTCAGGACCATGGTCAGTCCATTTTATGCCAAGGACTATATTTGATTGGGGGTGCCTTAGCTGTCAAAGCACAGCCTTTACAGGATTTTACAATGTTTCTGATATACTTATCCATGTTCGGCCAGTACACATAACTGCGCATAAGGCTTTTCATCCTTGTAATCCCTGGGTGGCCAGCATGGAAATCTTTCAGAATTCTTTGTAGTGTTGTGGGAATGATAACTCGCTTACTATATAGCAGTACTTTGTTGCATAGGGTGAAAATAACTGAAGTCTGTTGGTCTTTTTCACACATTTTGATTTTGGTTTGCCTGATAAACTCATGGTTTAGAGCTTGTCGTTTGATTTGGTCAAGAATTACAAGGAGTTCCCTTACTGTGTTTCATAATGTGGTTTGAAGAGAAGCAATCACAGTATCTTCAAGAGGTTCCCCGTGTTTTGGGATTAATCTGGATAGTCCATCTGCATGACAGAGTTTTTTAGACAGTAGGAACTCCATCTTGAAGTTATAATTTAAGAGGATTGTTCCCCATCTCCATAGTCTATTTGCTGTATGCACAGGCAGGCCTTTTTTAGAACCAAAAATGTTAAGTAATTGCTTATGGTCCATCTGCAATGTAAAGTGTCTACCATGAATGTACCAGTGAAACTTTGTTACTGGGAAAATAATTCCTAATGATTCTTTCCAAATTTGGGAGTAGTTCTTCTATTCAGGAAGAAGTGTTCTTGACGTGTGAGCAACTGGTTTGTGAGATTCATCTGGCATCTTGTGCAGAATACAAGCTCCAAAGCTATATGAGCTGGCATCACTGGCAACTATAATGCCCAGGTCTTGGTTATAGTATGTGAGAAACAAGTCCGACATCAAGACTTCTTTTATTTTGACGAATACTTCCTGGCATTCAGGTATCCACTCCCAGTCCTTGTCTTTTTGCAGAAGTTCATTTAGAGGAGCATGTAAGTTGTGCATATTAGGTATAAACACTTGGTAGTAGTTTGCCAATCCTAAAAAACTTTGTAATGAAGAGACGTTTTCAGGAGCTGGCATGTCCTTGATTGCGATAACCCATTCTGGGTTTGGCCTTCTGCCATCTTCGTCAATAATGTTCCTTAAGTATTTAATCTTCTCCATAAAGAAGTCAGAGTTGGATTCTTTCAATATGAACCCGTACTCCTGAATTCTTGATAAGATTTTATAAACATGTTCCTTGTGTCCATTTTGGCTGTTTATTAATATGTTGTCCAAATATGCAACAGCGAAGTCAAGACTGCTCAGCATAGTGTCCATTACTTGTTGGAAGATTGCCGGCACAATCTTGATCCTGAAAGGCAGACATTGGAAGATGTACAAAACAATGATGGGTGTTGATACAGAGCAATTTAGAACATTCTTCCTCTACTGGTATTTAAAGATATGCATCACTGAGGTTGATTTTTGAAAAAAAATTTTCCTCTATTTAGGTATAGAGCTTGGTAAAGGATAGTGATAGTCTTTGAGTACAGCATTAAGCCCCATCAAGAAATTGGCACAGACTCGGATCTCCTTTGACTTCTTTTTCACATAGATGGTCGGTGAAGCCCAGTGACTGTACTCACTTTTCAACAAGACCCCAGTTCTTTCTAGTCTGTCAAGTTCTTCATTTATTTGTGGTAAAGAGGCAAATGGCACATTTCTTTTTTTCTTAAGCACTGGCTGAATGTCATCTTTTAACTCAAATTTTGCCATCATCTTATTACACTGACCAAGGCCCCCAGAAAAAACTTTCAGAAAAGTTTCTTGTAAATCTTTTATTAAATTTTTTGCCTCGTCCGTTTTTCAAGTTTTTGGCAAAATGAATTAATTGGCATGTCCCACAACTTAAATTTCTCCATCCATTCAGTGCCAAATAAATTTTCTGTATTCTTTAATATGTACGTTTTTAGTTTTAATGTCCTTCCATGAAAAGTTACATTTGTGATAAGTTCTCCCTCAAACTTGATTTTTTCCCATGTCACGGTCCTGGCCATTTTATTAGATCTTAGCATGGTTGGTTTTCCCAACTTTTTTCAAGTGTGTAGATTTATGATTGTCAAATCTGACCCAGAATCCAATTGTAATTTGATATTTTTATTTAGGATTTGTACTTTCACATATTTCCTAATGTTTAATCCATCTTGTTCATCTAATTTTTTGTTTTTTTGGCAGCTATTAACATTTTTTCTTGCTCTTGTGCCTGATATGGTTACAAGTTAGGCACTTGTTATTCCAGTAAGGGCAATCCTTATACCAATTTAGTGATCCACAACCAGAACACAGGTTAGGAGGCAAGTTGTCTTGTTTCTTTTTGGACTGGTTTGATTTAGAGGGAGAATTAGATTGTTTTTTCCTTTGCTGTAACTTTCTTATGTGTGCTATGCCAAATTCCTCAATGTTTTTCAAATCTTGGCATATGCTTACAAATCTGTGACGGTCTTCTGCTATTTGTTGGAGAGTAAGGTTTGGCTCATTTTCCAATTTGTTCAGAACACTACGTCTAATTTTAGCATCTTGGGATGAAACAAGTCCCTGAACAAATATTAGACACTTGAAATTATTCAAACTCAATTCTGACAGTTTAAAATTGTTGCAATGCTTGTTCGCAACAGATGCAAATGTAGTGTAATATTCACTATCCTTTCTGGCTAAATTCATATACTTCCATCTCTTATGAAAAAGTGAAGTTTTAGGACTAAAAAGTTCTGTAGGAAGTTTAACCATTTCAGTAAATGTCGGTTCGCTTGTTTTATGGGGTAAAATTTAGTTCACAAATTTGGTGTATTCCAAGGTGCCTAGTTTTCGAAGTAGTAGACGAACAGTAGGCCACAAAAATCTCCTGAGCTGATCAAGCATAGAAATGAATACAATATGGGAACCAGTAATAAGGAGTGCCAGAGAAAAGCGATAATAACAACAAAAAAATTGCAATATGAGCTCTGGTAAAAACATGCAATGATAACAGCAAAAAAATTGCAATATGAGCACTGGTAAAAAAACTGTTGCTGATGACATTAGGTCTACAATACCCTGAAATTCATACACAGATGTCCTCAAGGACATTTGGCACAGTGGAGGAAGGCATTAGTTAGATCCAGTGACAGGACCCAAAGAGTGTGAGTTCAATACCTGTTTAAGGTGGTGGAGAACTTAGAGAGGGGAATTAAGAGGAGATAACTGATAACTGATATCCATTAGAAATGGCATGTGTAACTAGAACAGTCTACCCCAGTGAGCGAAATAAAGAGTTCAGTTTGACATTCCAACCACCTGAAGAAGGCCAGAGCATACAATGGCCAAAATGTTGTAATAAATATGGCAAAAAATATAAGGACAATAGTCAATAGTGTTGTAATTGTTGCATTCTTTTTGTTGTTCAAGGTGGAATTTCAGAAAATCCAGCATGGCGAATTTGAACTCGTCCATGTTTGATTGTGTCTTTTTAGGATTAAACCAAAATAGAATTTAATTGAGGAGAAAAAAACGAAATAACTTTAATTTCTTACTCACTCAAAGAATCATGAGTGCTTTTTTTTCTCTGAGAGACATGAATTCTCAGGAAGTTAAGTGTAAGTTAGTTACATTTTTTTCCCATTCAGTTTCCTTTTCTGGATTGCCAAGTATTGTTGAGTAGAACCAATATTGACAATTTCCATGTAGTTCTTTTGGGGTCGTCAAGGGTCCTTAAGGGTCCTCGTCACCAAGTTGTTGTGGCCTTGTTAGGGGCCAGAGATAAAGACACAAAGAGAGGAATTGAGTTAAACAAATATATTAACAAAACAGTAATGCAAACATATACAAATGAGAGTGTTACAACAAGAATGTTCGGTCTAACTGTCAGAACTGACTGCTGGAAACTTCCCTATATAAAATGCAGTACCTGCTCCTATTTATAGCTGGGAGAGTCCATGCGTGCATGGGTAAATTACCATAACAATTATGATTTTAGCTTTTGGTCTTACAATAGAAAACTGAAGAATACAGTGGCTAGAAGTGACTGGAAATTTTCTATGACAGGATTATTCAGCTAACTGAAGAACCTCACAAACCAGCATGAAGACATAAAAATACATACTAATTACTTACATGTTTTGAATTATTTCTACTCATATATTTACTTACTTTGGGAGGTTGAACTTGTGCAGCAAACATGCTTGGATTCATGAGGAACTGTTCTAAGGCATCTGATGAAGACAAATAATAAAGTTTGTTTGCGTATTTTACAGTAGTTTCTGGTTTCCCTGGACATAACATTCCTTTCTCTTTCAGCATCACAGGGCAAAAATAGGAGGTATTTCCCAAATGTCTTTTACGGCTATGGTGGATGTTTTCATCTTCCTAGGAAAGAATGAATTTTTAACCAAATTTAAAGTATAAATAAACTCTTGTATTTAAATAGCGAATTAACAACTTTTGAACCAATTAAGCTTGATTTAAACATTGATTTAACTGAAGGAATATCAGGTAGGTCAAAAATAGAAAAATTTAAAATAATAATATAGAAATAAATAAGCATAAAAGTACTAACTATATGAATTCAGAACTAATTGGTTAGTATATATATTTTAATATATTTTATTGTTATACATTATTTATATAGACACAAATATCTAAGTAAATGCTCTGTTTAACACTATTAACAACATTTACCAGCCTGAATGTCTGAGAAATTTCATATAAAATATGTGTCCTCCAACAGAATCAGCCTAGCTAACCAGATGCTTCCTTCATAGCTAAACTGGTATAGTACAGGTTATATGACAGTTTATGAACCTTTTAATACAATCTTTTTGGAATATAACTTACAAATACTATGATAATAATTTGTTAAACAAAAAGAAAAATTAATAAAACATTCTTTGACTATGATATATAGTCACTGAGTCATTGGACACAGAAAGCAACCTCAAAAACCTGGCCTCATGTGAAAGGATGCGTTCTCTAAAATTTAAAACTGAAGTTCTAAGGCAATAGTTTTACAAAATGCAATTATTGTACTACTGTATTACTTTCAAAGGGAGTTATGATTAAAAAATTTGGAAGAATTTAACTATTCAATTTTCTTGATGTCACTAGAGTTTATTATTTCTATTAAGCTTTTGTTTATGTTATAAAAATATATAAAAAAACTTGCTAATTGGTAGATTTTTTTAATGATGATAAAAAATTATCTTGAAGTGTTAAATTAATTTCTGTGAGAAAACTAACATTATTTTAAATAAGTTAACATTAGTTACTGTATTTCTTTTGCCATATTTAAAAATAACAAAAAGTAACTGTGCCCTGAAGTAATGTTTGAATTTAAAAGCAATATCTGTTGGAATAATTTTCCTCTTTTGTTTACTAATTCTGTCAACAGTAAAATCAACTAAAAATTATATTATGTCTATTGAAACAACTAAACTTTCATTAAGTTTAAAAATAGACATCATGCTGACATTGTAACAAGCATACCACATGACTTTTTCAATCAATAGGAACACTATAAAAATATTAAATTTCAGCTTTCATTTGGAGCCTATCTCTGACATATATAAGAACAGACTAAGAGCCATTCAAAGAACACACACAGTGAGTACACATGGATAGAACACTGAACAAGCCACTTACTCACACTATGTACACTTTCACGCTTTCTTATTCTAGCAATTATGCCATACAGAGAGATCAACACAAGCAAGATAAAATACTTGCCCAAGCATTTGTTTGAAAGGGAAACACCAAGTGATTTATTAATATCCATAAATATATACACATACACTCACCCATGCACACACATGCATATCACACATCTACATATATTATGCACATGATCACACCTACACACATCTGTACATACACAGACATTTGTTTTCCCAAAATTTATTACTCTAGACTTTTTATGAATTCTTTTTAACCCTTCTAAGAACTCCTTTTTTCTTCACTTGATTGTCAACATTGTTGTTATTAAATTGTATTCAAATTCCTTTGATGATGTTGCCTTATTCCTCATTTTTTAGGCATACAGATGTTCATTGGCTCTTTCTTTCTCTTTCTCCAACAGGGTTTATCAGTAAACTCTTTCACTCAACCAACAAAGCATACAACAATCAGAAGCAGCCAGTGCAACAGTGTATTCAGTTATAATGCACTTGAACAATGTAGAGATAAAATGCATTCTTTCAGGATCACTGATAATTTTAAAATAAATAAAAAATTCTCATAAAACTGGGGATTTGATACAAATTAAGAAAACATTTTCTTTGACTGCAAAACTTGAATAAAATCACTCCATTTTTTTATGTGGTAAATTATTGAGACCGACTTAGAATGCCATGTTTTTAGACTGCTTTGTTGTCATTTTTGTGAATATTTTTGAACCATTTCAGTAATAACTTTCAAATTTTCAGATTTGAGATTTTTAAGGATATTACACATATAAGAATAAACTGCAACCTGTGACATTTTAAAAATAATAAAAGTAATTTATAGTTAGATAAGTTATTTGACAATATTTTTTAATAAGTAATTACTATGAATAGATAATTTAAAATATATATTACATGCATCTGTTGATCAAATTGAAATAATCTATGGCCTGAATAATTTCTAATGTAAGCATTGTAATATAATAATCAGTTCTGGTCATTCTAGAAAATCCTTTTCATATTGGAAATATATATATATATATATATATATATATATATATATACACAGAAGGTATATGAAATTTAAAAATTGATCTAATGTTAAATTTATAATTTATGTTGAGCATATGTATTTCTATGTGTGTGAATATAAATAAAATAAATTTTTGTTTATGATCTAATACAATATTCATTAATTTCCACTCTTCTTTTTTTACCTTGATGCTATACAAGACCCAAGAGCCACTCAAGATAGAGGGTTACAGAGTAAGAGGCACAGTTTATACTGATATGTGGGGAAGATAATGGTTACTCCTAGACTTGGACAGGTTAAGATTGTAGCGATCAGGGAAGTATCCTCTTGAGAGTCAGCTCCACAAAACAGGGATTCATGGAAAGAAACTGTTCGAATGGAGCATACATCTCACCAATGGAATACAAAGGGAATGGGAGGGAGTCACTACATGGTAGTATGGCAGATCTTAGTTGTAAAGGTTAGAACTGGTGGAACTATGGAAGTAGTTCGTCTGAACACTTTCTATGGAAAAGGTAATAGAGCAGCCAGAAGTTTGTGATATTTTGTCTGTGAGAAATAGATTTTAGAGTAGAAAATTGTCACGTAAAAGATGAAAAGATACTTTTTGACTTTATCAATACTGGTAAATGAAGACTGGGTGGCTCCCATATACACCTTTCCAAAATGAAGAGGATTTTCTAGAAGAATGACCATATATGGCAACAGTACTCCATTTTCGGTCTGATCAGACTCTTGTAAAGGTAGAGAATCATTTCTAATATATATATATAGCCATCTATTAGTTGATTTCAAGATGAAATAACATATTAAATAATATTTTATTATATTTCAATGTGAACCTCTCAGCTATTAAAATATGAAAATCATATTTGTATATTCCTTTTGTATATATGCATATATGTATCTATATATTTTTGTCATAAATCTCTAGTGTCCACTAATACATTTTATGAAATTTTGATAAAAAAAATAATTTGTATTGTAGTAATATGTAAATGAATGCCTAATTAGCATAGCTAAGGCATAGACTATATAAATGCCCAAGCAGTAAGGGTAGAACAGCTCTTGGTATATGAGATAAACAACTACCACTTGACTGATAAAATATGAAGGAAATCCCACTTCATAACAAGTATAAATTGTCTTTGTAAAATTCTGTGACCAGATATTACAAGTAAGCAGGTTATTATATTCATTAATTTTTTATTGGAATAATTTGATACTTTCAAACCTTTACCTTCTTTGTATATTTATTAAAAGGAAATTCTCTTTTTTTCTACTGTTATTTAATTATTCAAATTTGAGATTGGATTAACAATAGAAAAATAATAAAGTGCAGATCACTTTAAGACTAAGACAAAAATATGAACAGGAACAGGTGTAAAATCTGTTTTCTTGCAATTTTTGTGAATTACCTCCTCTTCTTCTATTTCTTCATTTTCCTCATCCTCATTTTCCTCCTCTTCAAACTGTTCATCATCCTCATCCATCTCTGCTAAACTATACTCATTTGCCTGGTATTGGAATGTTTCTGGAGTAAATATGCATAAAAAATATACTACTCCAAAACTCCAAGCAAATTTAAATATAGTCATCTTTTTCCAAAAGTATTTTTGGATTACAATCAGATCATATACGATAATGCTAATTTAATTAGAAGAAACAGAAATCCGATGAAATAAGACATGTACATGGCAGTATTTTTTTCATTTATTTACGAGACATTATTTATAGAAATAATTCATCTAATGACAATAAATTATTTTAATTTGTTTAAATTTACATTTAACATGATATGACTTGTTGCAAATTATTAAAATGTTAGAGGTGTTACTTGTTTTTATATATATATATATATATATATATATATATATATATATATATATACACACACACACCAGGTGTAACAGCAAAATTGTTCAAATCATGTAACAGCATAATTATCCATCCCACAAAATATTTAATATCTAAAAAACCACTAAACTAATTACGTTTCCTTTTTACAGGTTTTCAGATAAGATGTTTAGCCATCTTGACACCATTTGTCATAAGAATCACTGAAAAGCCCTGAGTTATTCAGCTAAAAAGAAAACAGGTTAAAATCTTTTGTGTCAGACCCACTGTCTTCCCAACTGAGCAATGGTGAGAGAGAAAACATGATTCAGACAATCAGTTATAGTACCAGTGTTCATACTCTGGCTTCCATTTTCAAAGTCCATTCAAAAATGGTGAATAAGTTTAAAAAAGAGGGAACAGTAGAGAAGAACTGGATCAGGAGGTCACAACAGGAAGAGAGATCATCATTTTGACTTAGAGCTAAAAAGATCAATTAGAAAAGATCCAACTCAATTCATAAGACGTTTGGCACATGAGAGAGGGGTTTCAGCTATGACAGTCCAGAGAGCATTGAAAAAAGATTTGAAAATGAAATCGTACATGAAACATGTGAGGCACCTTGTTATTCCAGGACAGAAGGTTAGTGAGGGTGAAGATCATCTTCAATAAGTTAGAAAATTATCCTAGAATATATATATATATATATATATTTGAACTTAATTTCAATACTTCATGAGCTTCCAATTCTTAGCTATGATTAATTAATGATGAATGTGTCATTTTCGTTTATGATCAATTTCATCATGATTCTTCTGTTAAGCTTGGAAGTAATAATACTTTCTTATTGCTCAAAGTGTTATACAAACAATAGTGTTATAAAAATCTTCAATAATTCTAGTAAGATACAATGGTTCAGAGCTTAATCTAACAATTGGACAATTTTGCTGTTCTGGTATATATATATGTATATATATATATATATATGTGTGTGTGTGATTAATGAATATTTGGGCATCAACCTTTCATTTAAACATCTTTTGTTAAATATGATGGATAATGAAAACTTTATTAATTTTTTATTTAGTTTTTTCAGCATTCTGACATTTTTCTGATTGGTGGGAATGAGGGAATGCAAAAACTGTCCATATCATCCATTATCCCAAACACTTTCAGCCACTTTTGTGAATTTTGTTGTAATATTGTTGGTTAAGAACTACATAATTATTGGTTTTGTCAGTGTATCTGATGATGATATTGGGGTTGTTGCATAAGAAAACTGGAAAAACTAAATAAAAAATTAATAAAATTTTCCTTGTCCATATTTAACAAAAGATATATCTATCTATATGTCTATATATATAGTGTAGTGTTACTGACTAATAACTATTATTCACAATTATTCCACTTATTATTTTTATCCTGAACAATATACTGTTCAATATTGTATCTTGTTTTGTACCTTCAGCTAATTTGTCTATCAACAAAATATCAGTTTCAACCCAGTGTAAGAAAATATCTACAATTTTTTCCTCCCCTTTCTCACATTCCAAAGTAACAAACCTCAATCTCAACACAGTGTCTACATGTGGAATGGTATTGCCTTTCACATACTCAATATCAAAGTCGAATGCAATTAACATTAAAGCCCATCTTAGAACTCTAGATGTTACCTTAGAAAATTTCTTCCTAGTATTAAATATGAATTCTAAAGTTCTATGGTTGGACCTTAGTAGGAATTTCTTTCCAATAAATAACTGACAAGCTCTATTTGTTGTCCATAATATGGCCAATGCTTCTTTATCAATATTTGAGTAGTTCAATTCAACTTTTGATAATTTTCTTGAAATATACATGAGAGGATGGCCATCCTGAGCTAATATTCCCAAAATTGAGTGTTTACTTGTATCAGTTGTTTCTACTTGTTGTGAAGCAGAGGTTAGCACTAATCAGCCGCTAGACTCGTACTACTACCTCGTTATTCTCAGTGACCACTTATATGAGTGTTCACTTATGCTTATGCAAATTATGCATACTAATTTGCTAGTATCACTACATCTCCCTGAAACGTAAGGGTTTTATTCCTCTCGTAGATCTTGTACTCCTTCTCCTGCTATTTTCATCACTTTGCTCTACTTCTCTCTCTCCCGTATTTCTTTCCCTGGGAGACCTAGATCTGTCCCACATTATGCTGTAGTCATATGTGTTTTCTTGCATAATCTGGTCTTCGTCCGAACTTTCAGACTTATTCTGACCCTCTTGATCCTGCATTGTTTCATCTTCTGATGTTTCCTTCTGTAATGGTTGTTCTACCAACTCATTATCAGATGGAATTGAAGACATTTCTTCGTCATTTTGTTCTTCCTCTTCACCCTGGGTCCTTATTTGGTCTGCATGGGCTAACACACTATCGCCATTTTCTCTATTTATTATAGCTGTATTGTGGCCTTTTTGCATTATAAATTCGGCTCCTTCCAGATCTGCATCTTTGCTCTTTTTGTACCACATCTTTTCATTTGTAGAATATGACATAGTTAGCGGAGATCTAATCTGTCTTCCCATTAAAGCTGATGGGCTTTCTAGTCTTCCCGCATGTGGTATCATATGATAACTTAAAAGCAGCCTTGGTAGAAAAACTTCTACTTTTTCTTTTTGCTGAGAGCATGCTTTTAGTCCCTTTTTTACAGTCTGCACCATTCTTTCTGCTAGTCCGTTCGATTGAGGGTGATATGGAGGTGTCTTATATGGTTTACACCCTATTTTTTCTAACCATACATTAAGTTCTTCATCACAAAATTCTGGTGCATTATCAGATACCAAGGTTTTTGGTACGCCATTTCTGGAAAATATGACTCTGGAAAATATGCTTTATAGTAGAACTTTTCTTGTTTGTAACCCGGATTATTTCAGGCCAACCTGAAAAGGAGTCTACTAGTATTAATAAGAGTCCCACTCCATTAATGTATGCATGATCCATATGCACACGACTCTATGGCTCCACTTCTTTGAGCCATGAACGTAATTTGGTTTGTGTAAAGTTTCTTAATTCTTTACATTTTTTGCACCTTTTTACATATTCCTCAACATCTCTTGAATATCCCGGCCACCAAGCTTCTAATTTTATCCTTTTTTGTGTGGCCGCTACTCCACAGTGTATATCATCATGTACACTTTCTATTATTGGTTTTCTTTGTGTTTCTGGGAGAACTACCAGGTCCCCATTGCAAATCACTCCATGTTCTATTGTTAATTTGTGTTTTATTTCTTTATAGGGTCTTTCCGCCCTAGAACAATTTCCCGACAAGTTTTTTCTTATTCTCGATACTATCCTACTTAGCACTGGATCATGTCTCGTTTCCGCAGCCATTCTGTCTAAAGACAAAACATCAGTCTCTATCAAATGTAGGAATGAATCTTCAAATTCTTCCTCTATTTTATCTTTTGACTCCTTGTAAAATCTCAATCTTGATAGTGCATCCACATGTGGAATTAAATTTCCTTTGACATATTCTATATCAAAGTCAAATGCCATCAATCTTATCGCCCATCGTAGAATCCTTGATGTCGTGACTTTGGGTAATTCTTTCCTTGGGTTAAATATAAACTTTAATACTCTATGATCACTTCTTAACAGAAATTTTTTCCCAATTAAAAATTGTCGGGCTCTGGTAGTTGTCCACACGATAGCCAATGCTTCTTTCTATATATTCGAGTAATTGAATTCAGTGTTCGTTAATCTTCTCGATAAATACATTATCGGATGTCCTTCTTGTGATAATATTCCCAATATTGAATGTTCACTTGCATCTGTAGTGAGTGTTATGTCCTTTTTTGGATCAAAAATTTTCACTACAGGTTTCTTTGACATAATTTCTTTTAATCTTTTAAAAGCTTTTTGCTGTTCGTCTGACCACATAAATTCCACATTCTTTTTTCTTAAATTTGCAAACAGTTCCGTCAAGTCCATGTATTTTGGTAAGTATCGCCTGTAAAAATTTGCCAATCCCAAAAAAGACTCCAATTCTTTTTTATTTGTAGGTGTAGCTACTTTTAGTATTTTTTCTATCAAGGCTTGGTCTAGTGATATACCTTCTTTTGAAATGGAATAACCTAAAAAAGATATTTTGTTAGAATTGCTTACGCATTTTTTCTCATTTATTGTAATTCCAGCATTTCTTAATCTATTCAAGACTAAGTCAGTTTTCTCTTTTAATTCCTTTTCATTAGTAGCTCCTATGCATATGTCGTCTTGGTAACAAATCATATTTTGTACATTTCCTAAAACCTGTTCAATGGCCCTTTGAAATATGGCGCTTGCGGTTTTTATTCCATATGGCATCCTTTTCCATCTTAGTAAACCTATTGGAGTATTTATCGTGGTTACTTCTTTGAAGTTCTCGTCTATTGGTATTTGGTGGCATGCCATTTTTAAATCTATTTTTGAAAAAACGGTCATCCCTGCCAGTGCATGTAATGCAAGTTCAACATTGGGTATGGGATATGAATCTGAGCATATCTTGTGATTTACTCCTATTTTGTAATCTCCACAAATACGTAAATCGCTATCTGTTTTCCTCAACACTACAATCAGTGATGCCCACTTGCTATCTCCAGGCAGAACATGTTCAAGAAGGTCTTGTTCTACTAATTTACATAGTTTTGTCACTACTAATGGTAATAAATGTACTGGTAATTGTCATGCCTCATAATAAGAGGGGGAAACATTTTTTTTTTACTTTTAAACTTGCTTCATAGTTTTTTAACTTTCCAGTTTTTTCCATTTTTATTTCATTAATTAACTTGGTAGAATTTATGTTAAGCACATCATTTCCAATAAGTCCGTGGTTCTTTTCGCAACTTGTAACAACTTTAAATTTAAATTTGTCTTTTAACTCTAAGGAACCTTCAAAGTATCCTAATGTTTTTATAACTGACCCATCAAATTGGCGGAGTTGTAAACTGCTTTTTCATAAAGGTGGCTTACCAATGCGTTCCCAAAAATTTTTTGGTATGAGTGTTACTTCACTCTCAGTATCCATTTGCATATCTAAATTGCAGTTATTAATTTTGACCTTTACTATAATGTCTTTTTTCTTATGTTTAATTTTTTTTATACTCTTATTTTTTAATGTAAAAACTTCCCTATTGGTGTCGTTTTCTTCAATTCTTTCTACATTTTTCTTTTTTAATTTACACACTGCTTGAAAGTGGTCCTTTTTTAAGCAATTATTACAAGTTTTTCCAAATGCTAGACACTTCCTTTTTATTTCGTGTTCACATCCACAATATGAACACTTTTTATCTTCTTTAACATGTATGTATCAGCAAATATTTGTTCGCCGGTCTGACTTTTATGATGGTTGTATTTCTGTATTAGTTCTTGTTGCTGAATAAAGTCAATACATGTATTCAAAGACATATTTCCTATTTGTAATTGTTCCATTATTTTATATCGGTGTGATGCATTGCACATACCTTCAATTAATCTTAATTGAATCATCCTCTTCAATAGTCTGTTCGTCTTATTCAAGTTTTTCAAATTCACAATATCTACTCACATTTCGTAGACGGTGTAGATATTTTATAATTGGTTCGTCAATTTCTTGTTTCATCGACATGAATTTCATTCTTTCTGCCACTACCAGCCTTTTCTTGGGTCTCATATTTCTTCTTATAATCTGACTTATTTTTTCGAAACTCAAGTCTTCCAAATTTGAGGGATATGCCATGGTGGAGATTTTCATTATCGCCTCGCATCCAGCTGTAGCCAAAAATAAATCTGTGATTTCATTTTCACCTCCCTTTTCCTTGTTGTCTTTCAACTTTTTTGTTCTCGCAGTGGCAGAGAAACAACGAATCCATGTATCCACAAAATCTGGATCTTCCAGAGACAATTGATATCCTATTGGCAACGCCATTGTTGTGAAGCAGAGGTTAGAACTAATCAGCCACTAGACTCGTACTACTACCTCGTTATTCTCAGTGACCACTTATATGAGTGTTCACTTATGCTTATGCAAATTATGCATACTAATTTGCTAGTATCACTACACTACTAATTCCTTTCTAGGGCCAAATATTTTTACTACTGGCTTTTTTTTAAAATTTTCAAATCCCACTTGTTATTCTTTTGCCCAAATAAATTCCACATTCTTTTTTTCTTAAAGCAGCAAAAGGTTCTAACTATTCAGAGTATAGCTTTAAATATTGTCTGTAGAAATTTACAAGTCCTAAGAAAGATTCCAATTCTTTTTGTTCTTAGGTAGTTCAACATTTAATATTTTGTCAATTAACAATTGGTCTGGTGATATGACTTTGTTAGATATGGAATATCCAAAAATGATATTTTTTAGTGTTGTGCACACATTTTTTTCATTAATTGTTAATCCAGCATTTTTTAACTTATTGTAAACCATACTGGTTTTCCATTATAACTGTTTATTGTTAAGACCAACACAAATTTCATCCTGGTAGCATATTATATTTTTTATATTGCTACCAATAACTTGCTCTATAGCTCTTTGAAAAATCATACTTGTGGTTTTAATTCCATATGGCATCCTTTTTCATCTTAAATCTTTTGGAATGTTTATTGTTGTGACTTCTTTAAAGTCTTTGACAATAGGTATTTGATGGTATGAAGACTTTAGATTCATTTTAGAGAATGTTTTCATACTGGCAAAGGAGATCAAAGCCCATTCTACATTGGGGATAGGATTTAATGTAGTCACCCCAAATGCAACAGATCCCCATCTTCCTAATTACTAATAGAGATGCCCATTTGCTCCCACCTGGCAGAACTCATTCATGTAGATCTTGTTCCAGTAATTTTTTTAGTTTTTCCACAACTATTGGTAGTAGATGGACTGGCACTTTTCATGCATCAAAATATGAGAGGGAGACATTTTCCTTTAATCTTAACTTTGCTTCATAGTTTTTTAATATACCAATTTCTTCTGACTTGATTTTGTTTACTAATTTTGTTGAATCAATAGATCCTTTCCTATTAGACCAAGATTCTTTTCACAGTTTGCCACGATAATTGGTAATATGTGAAAATTAATTTTTGGTTCCCCATAGGCTTCAAAACAGCCTAACATTTTTATCATAGATCCATCAAACTGATTCAACTGGACAAGACTTTTTCTTTAATCTTGGTTTTCCTAAAATCTTCCACAAATTTCTAGGTATCAACTTTATGTCACTTCTCATATCTAATTGCATGACAATAAATCCTTATTGATTCGAATTTTTAATAATCCTTTTTTATTTTTTTTTTAAAGAAAAGGCACCCATATTTCTTCCTTCTTCATTTTGTTGGACCATCTCTACGTTTTTCTGTTTGGATTTATACATATATTTAAAATGATTCATTTTGAAAGACTTTTCTAATTTTTTTTTTTATATACTGGACATTTTTGTTTTTTTCTTTGATGTTGATATCCATAAAAAGTACACCTTATTTTATCTTTTTTCTTTATTACATATATATCCATTTCCTCTACCAGATCCGTAACTTTTGTTCTATTGAATTTTCCAATCAATTTTTGTTGCTGAACAAATTTAACGCACTGTTCTAGTGACAGCTTTCCCAATTGTAAATGCATTAGAGTCATTTGCCGATACTCATCAATTTGAAAGCTGTTTACCAATTTCATTTGGATCAAATCCACTTCAATTGACTTTTTTTCTGATCCGAGTTTTTCAAATTCGCAATATTTAGCGACCTGTTTCAAGCAAAGAACATAATCAATAACTAGTTCATTCACTTTCTGAGAAATATTCATAAACTTAGCTCTCTCTGCATTCACTAGTTTTCCCTTGGGTGTTATGGTTTTTACTATTAGTTTACTTATATCATCAAACGTCATTTCCTTCAACAGTCTTGAGTGTACAATTGCTGATAATTTTATAATAGCTTCACAACTAGCAGTGGCCAACAAAAGATCAGTTATTTGGTTTTCTCCTCCAATTGATTTTAAATCCTGTAGCTTTTTGTTTTATCTTTAGCTGCTAGTATCCTAAGCCACACCTGTACATATTCATAATTATCAAATGATAATTGTTCATTTGATTCTTTAGATATCAGCGATACCATTGTAGTGTAGTGTTACTGACTCACAGGAAGTAGTATGCACTCAACTGTCTCATGGGTAATAGCTGTAGCTATTTATAGTTTCCGTGACTTCATATGTAAATGAGTCACCTCAACATATATATTCCTTCGCTATTGATACTCTGTAGAATATTATTATTCATCTCACAAATTTATATGGACTGACTTTTATAGTAAAGTATGCAATGGTCAAGTCACACTAATTGTTTATTTACTCCTTGTCTTATACTAAAATCAGTTTTTTAATATCATGTTAACAAAGAAAACATACCCTCAATCTTTTTTTAATAAAATTATAAGAAGCAAAAAATTACTTACTTTCAATTTCTGCAGAAACCTTTTCAAAAATGTCTTCAATCTTTTGATTATTGATGTCTATTGTAAAGGGATCAAGATTTGCCATACCGGTCACTGTACTCACAATGAACTTCAAATTATTATCACTTTTCTTTAGTTTTTCCTTATACATGGAAGCAGCTTTTGACTGTTCTTTGGACTGTTGAAGACAATTAGGTAACTTTTTACAAATTAGAGTTCATTTACAAACATACTATTGCATTCTAAGCTTAGCGTAGAGTTTAAAAAATAAATACAAAAAGATTTCAACTTTTTCAAGATAATGAATATGAGATCAGATATGTTTAAAATTTTCAAGGCAACATATTTAGAAACATTTAGAAATCAGAAATACAATTTTTATGAGTATAGTTGAAATCATTTTAAAACAACGAATAATTTCCTTGTATATTGAAAATTTAAGAAATAAAAATCATTATTATTTTACATATTTTAGTCTACTTATCTTTACAAAAGCATTATTACATAACAACTATATTATTCTTTCAAAGTTTTTCACAGACAACATTTTATTTCCACAAATGGGCATCCAGACATTACTATTAGTTATTTGGTTGAGTAAAAATAGAATTGTTAAATTAATTTAATAAAAATTTTTCTATTTAAAGTTTTATATTAAAATAACTTAAATTTCAAGCTTATTTATTGGTAATACTAAAGATAAAAAAAATCTATTTGTATTTCTGAAATTCATCAATTGAAGTATTTCAAAACATTTACATATTAATATTAAGCACAGTTCATTGTTCCTTGTCATTAAAAATAACTACCTTTCTTTATATTCATTTATTAAAGTCAATATAGTTTTCTCTAGGTTCTGCTAAATTTACAAAAGTAAATAGATTTTGAAATGTATTTTTACACATCTTCAATTTTTTCATAAAACTTTTAGGAAAGTTCTTAACCAATGGAAATGATTACACACTTAAAAATCCAGGCTACATTTTATTGTAAATAGAAACACATCTCAAAACAAGTATTCTAAAAAGCGATATTTCAATTCTTTTTAATATTCTACCTATTCTCAAAGCTTTTGATAATGTCCATCAAAAATATAATGTACAAGTGCATATTAACAACAATGTCATAACTAAGTAAAACCAACTCAAAAGATTTAGTAATTTAACTTCAAAACAGTACAAAAAATAAGTTAATGAAATAAAACAAATCTTTTTCTTACTTGGCTTTTTAAATCAGCTGTCTCAGATTTATTTTCTGAAAAAGAAAAAAAAAACATGTATTGAAAAATAAACTAATCATAATTTATTTGAAAGCTATAAAGTCTATCTTATTTCATGACTGGGCCATATTCTTCTTAAGAGTCAAACCTGGTAGAGTTACAAATGGGTGCTAAAAAGTTATCTCTTTGAGCTACTTTGCAAAATAACCAAAAATCGGAATTTTTTGAAAAGTTTTCAGCACTCTCTCATATATTCTAGTTAAATATCTAGCACCAAAATTTGAATTAAATCATCATATAATACACCAAATATTTCTGCTTTAATTTTGCTGTATTTATTATTAGATGTAATATTTATATTAACATAATTTTTAAACTTCTGATAATAAAATTATTTTTTCTTGCATTCTCATTTGCCTGTTATACTGTTATGTTTTTTTTGTTCAGTTACACTTTTCTTTCTCTGTCTGAATTTCTGGGATGAGGAATTATCTTTATTCACATTCAGATTAATATTCTCATCATTTTTATTATAATGGTTCTATTATGGTTAATATGATAATATACAGAGAAAAGAGTGATCATCAATTCCTGTGAAATGAAGTAAAAATATTAAACAGAGATCAATGGAGAATCAGATATCTGAAGGAATCAGCACATATGCCAAATTATGATGGCCTCCTCAGTAAACCTAGAATAAAAATAAATACCATATATAAAGAAAGAACAAGAAATAATCATGGAGAGAGCCAAATTTCATACCAAATTTTGGCAGCAACAGTAAAAACAAAGAGAAACAACAACAATGGTGGTCAAGCATAACACTAGCAGTAGCAGCTGGTAAGCAATAAGAACTTTAGGTTTAAGGTTCAAGTTCTTAGTTCAGGATTGTTTTACAGGACAATAACCTAGTGGATTAAAGTGTTAGTTTGGTGAGGTAGTAATTGTGAGTTAAATCTCTGAAATGGGCAGGACAGCCTCACACTGTGGAAATAGGGCAAGCAATAACCAAGCAGTATTAAAAAGAAAAAAATTGAGATATCCCTTGAAATGGACAGTGGAACAAGAGCAATCTACTCCCATAGATTAAAAAAATTCAGTTTGAAATTCCCTAAAGGTTACACAGAAAGCTGGAGGGCACAAGCTGAAACATTTTGATAATAATAATAAAGATAAGGACATATGATTCAACCATCCCATGAAACAGCCCAGATAATATAACAAAAATGATTATTGATTTCAGTATCTCGGACTCTTGGCCTAGGCAGTTTCTAACAGATGTTAGAGCATACAACTTCTACTTTGAATCTCATCACAAATTACTTGTAACTAAACCGACAACACCAGCCAACAAAATAGCTTGCTTCCACTCACATAAACCACAAAATACACCTAGATATAACATCCATATCCTTAAAACTGAAAGGGTAAAAGTCCAAATTGATCTTCCTAAATCATAACCAAAACAACAGAGGAACCAAATAATGTTACCATATCTTCATTAGCCAAAACATGTGAGACCATTTCAAGAATACCTAAAAGGGAAAAGATATTCCTGTGAGGTGACAACCCTGAGTTGAAAAAATTGATACAAGAAAGAAACAAACAGAAGAGGAAGATAAATGAAAGGGAAAACACTAAACATTTAACAAAGAAAATAAAACTAAAACTAGTTAACACTCTGAGAAACTAATATTTCTGAAAAATTGGACACAAAATTAATGAAACCAAGTAGCATAGACAATGTGTTGAAATGTAAATAATCTTAATAATATCCTACAATCAAAACCATACAGAAGAAATGTCTTGGTATCAAAAAACATTTTGAATCACATTTCAACTCTGACTATTAAATTAAAGATGCCCACAGAAATAGAATATATACCAATATGAAAAGTCCAAACATAAAAAATAATGAATTTACTGATGAGGAAGTTAAGAAAGCTATTAAAAACTAAAGAATAATAAAGCATCATTTGACATTGAGACTGAACTTTTGAAAATAGCTTACCTTTTCCCTGAATTCAATAACAAGTTTCTCACTCCCATGAAGGATGTCTGGAATCAGAATGTATCCCCCAAAAAGTGGAGTTTATTGGGAATTAACAGACTATGGGCACAAAAACTTAGTGCTTAAGAACCTTATACATACAGAGATATCTCACTTGGATCCATTTTGGTGAATATTGTATTAAGCATGCTCTCATCATTTTATGAAAATCAACTACTCACCACCCAGTTTGGATTTTTATTCTGGTAAGGGATGTAATGATGTAACATTTATCATCAAACAATACCAGGACATTGTATACCTCTCTAATAGGAAATTGTATACCTGCTATGTCAACCTCACAGCAGCATATGACCACATCAATAGAGACTTTCTTTTCTCATTCATAAGCCATTAGAAACTGTCTTCCATGCTCTGACTATACTGAATACATCAACCTATTAGAGGAACTATATTGGTCCCAGAAAATCATGTTTGGTGAGGATCCATATACAGAAACATTTCAAACCTCACCAGGAGTACAAGGAAGAAATGAGAACCACAGTCTATTTAATCTCTTCCTAGAGCATGCCCTGCACATATACAAGTATAGATGTGAAGAGATGAGCACTGATAATTTAAGCATTCCATACCTCATCCCAAACAAATCTACTAATAGAAGACGGCAATCTTCATGAAGCCAGTGTATTGATGATGAGGGTGGATATGCTGACAACATAGGTATTCATAGTTGGGATAAGAATGATCTTGAACAAAAAGTTAACATCCTCTACCAAGTGTTCCAAGAAATAGGACTCAAGATAAACCTTTCCAAAACAGAAACTATGATCTGGAATTGGAATGAAAGCAGTGATAGCATCTACCCTGAATTCATCATAAAAATTCAGGATGTGGAATTAGTAAATACTAAACACTTCAAATACCTTGGTATATGGATCAGTTATAACAAATTTAGTATAGGAGATAAGGAAATTGAACATAGAATAGGCTGCACAAGAGGTAGTTTCATCCAACACTGCAAATTGCTACAAAACCAAAACATTAACAAAAAAAAAACTGAAAGTCATGTTCTTAAATAGCCTTCATCAGATCAGACTTTCATATGGATGTCATGCATAACACGCAAACTTGTTCAGAAATATCTAAACTGTCAGCTGTATACAACCATTTTTCTCAGATCAATGATTAAAAATGGTTTTGAGCAAATGAAACCTGAGGGTCAGCAAGGACCAATCTTCATCCTTCTTTGAACATTGAATAACAAACAACAAGTTCATTACAGAATCAGCAAAAAAATGGAACTGTACCAAATAACAGAAACCACATCAAACCTCAACATCCCCTAAGTTTTCAAAATAACTAACTATTTAGGGAAGAGGCAATTAAATATTGCAGTTTATTAAACTAAACTCAAGTTAAGAACATGATTTCAACAATAAATCCATAAAAACTGAAATATCAAAGGTGACTGATCATAGTTACTTTTTTTACTTTAAGGTTTTGTTTCAAATATTGTTGGGCAAAACTTTCCTAAATGTAATAAAATTTGTATATATCTCTTTAATTCATGAACACACACATGCACAAGCATTTTTATGAAAATTATATTTTATATATAAACTGAATCTTAGACTGTTCAAGAGTTATTTGTGGCAGCTTCACTTAATTTATGATGGCAGAGAGATCTGTCAAAATGCAGAACAATTTTAATGAAACACATGCTAATCATTCTCAGAAAATACTTTCACCTGTCCTTTTCTTTGGTTAGTTTGGTGAGTTCTTACCTTTGTTACTGTGTTTTTATTCCCTATTTATAGTATACACAGAGACTGAGGTGTAAACAAACAGGGTCACAGTGATTTTTGGCTTGACAGATTGCAAAATTTGTTATTTTAAAAAATTTAATTTTGCTTATTATTAGTTTTTTTTTTTTTTAATCAAGATGAGATTTGCCTCTGTTCTACAAGGTTTGCTGCATTGAATAGGACATGTTAATTCTTTTATTAAAGCAGTTTATTTTAAGATAAATTAGGCCTGCCACAAATACTTCCTCATCAGAGAAAATATCACATTGCTGACACTTAACTGATTAGAAAACATTTACAGGAAAAGCAAAAGAAAAGAATAAATGCAAAATTTTACAATATGTCTGTTTCATGCTCTTATTTCTGGGAGAAAATAAGACAAAGTATTGTAAAAAGATTACCAGAAAAAGAGAAAGTTGTCTATGAAATATCTCTAGTTTTCATTTGGAGTACTAGTTTCATAAGCAAATTATAGAAGTCTTGAGTTTGCTAGACAAATGGCTATGTCAGTCTGCTTTTGTCTGTTTTTCAGGATATGTAAATTGTGTTGAAGAATCAACATAAGTTGGTTTTAATCTATCAGTCACTACTATGTCAGTACAACCATTTTACTCAATGGTAAAGTATTTCTCTGCTTTAATGTGTATGTGAAAGGAACTATTTGCTTTTTCTTATGGAGGCTGAAATTTTCAGTTTTTATATGGAAGTCTCACACCATAGGTCAGAGATAGTGAAAGGATTGGGCATTTTGGTTAATTTTAATAAAGTTTCCATTTGTATCTTCAGAAAGGATGGGTCTTGCTCTTGTTCTTTTGCCAGAAGTTCTGGTGATAATCAATTTAGGATGGCTTATCAAGATCAACCATGTTCAGTATGCTTCATGACAAAGATTACTGTCTTTCTTAGAGATATCAGTTGAGAATTGGGCTTCAAGTAACAGATTTCTCATGGTGAATATTTGTCTGCAGTAGTTTGGAGAGAATATGTGAGAGGTTTATGGTCTGTGAATATGTTTAAAAATCTGCCCATTGAAATGTGCTTGTAATGATTTATTGTGCATATCTCACCAGTAGTGCTCTACCAAACATGTTATGTCTTTGCTGTGAAGAAGGTAATTCTGTGATAAAAATGATATTTCATCATTTTTGATGCACCTATTGCTGTAGATTGTATTGTATCAATATTAAGGTATTGTAGTTTGGTGCACTATTCCAGCACATTTTGAGTATGACACTGAATTCCTGTTTCACTTTATCAGTCTTTGATTTGACTTTAAGCAAGGTAGTAATGATGCAAGGATATGAAAACCTAAATAGCAAATCTCTCAGATAAAGAAGTTATACCTATGCTATCAGTTTTATGATCAAAGAAGGCTAGTAAAGAAACATTGTAGAAAAGTGAAGTAAAGATGATAAATAAAATAATAATAATGAATAATAAAAAAAAAGAAGAAATTAATTTTCAGATGCAAGTAATAAAGAAACTGGAAAGGGTTTTTTGGTCATATGCACAATTTTATGACCCCACTTCTGGAAAGGACAGAATCTTTTTCTTTTCCATTTTTCAATTTTCAACAGCATTGTTTGAATGTGTTTTCATAGACCTACTCATGAAGTAAATTGGTCATTCCACTCAGTGCAAAGCTGACTTGAGCTCAACCATTTTAACCATTGTTATCCTTACTTCTGAACCAAAAAAGAAAAATGGCATACTGAAGTGACATTGAGAACTTTGTTTCACTAGAGTTAGTATAAAAAGAATAACCATTCATAATAGAAACCAAGTTTTTGCATACTTCTTTGTTTATCATATGTGAACATAAGCACTCAACCTGTTAACCTCCATAACAGCAAAAATAAATAATTCATAATAGTGCAGATGTTATAGCTCTTCTGGAAGATGAATTTCATACTTGGTTTCATCCATATATGTATACAAAAATCCAGTCTATGAAACAGTTTTATGAAACATGGAAAGGTTTGTCCTATGTTTTTGAAAACAAAAGGCATTTTTTTAAATTTGAAAAGGACAAAGTGTTTTGCTTTGGCTGTTTTAATGATGTCTTTTTTGGCTACAGGTGTTTGTCTATATGCTCAAATCAAATCCATCTTAGAAAATAAAGTCTTTTCCAGTAATGAGGATGTAAAATCCTGTAGACATAGAATAGGATACCTGTATAGGATTATCAACCTGTTCAGTGTTTGGTAATTACCACAGGTTCTCCAGTCTTGAGTGTTTATTTTAGGAAATATGTGTAGCAATGATTTCTTACATAATGATGCTTTACTATTTACTAGATATTGTTTTGATGCATCTACTATTAGCTCATAATGACACAAAAAGTATACAACTAAAATGAATAATTTGATGTCAGCATGTAGAAAGGTCCATGGAAAAGTATGTTTGAGGTCAATGTTCAATGTCAGTGATTTTTCTCTGTATAAATGCATAACAGTGTTGTTCACTGCTATTAGAGAGTACTTATCAGGAAACCGTTTTTTTGCTGGTAATATACTGATGTATATGCCTGTGTCTACTTAATATCAAAGTCTGTAATTAAAAATAAACAACATTTGTAGAGTTTAGTATGTACAGTAATCATTGTTACTGATCATCTGCATCATGTTCTGAAATGAGAAAATCACCCAGAGATGTGTATACAATTGCACTTTTCTGAAAGTAGTTTTGGTTTTGACTGTTACTACCGTGTCTATTGTTTGATCTTCATTGGTCATAAAATTTTAATCTGTATGCTGGACATGAGTTACATCTTTCCTGGGTTAGTTGCTTCATTGCAATCACCATGTTCTCAACAAAACTTTTCTATTTTAGAAGTTACATTCCTCTTTGTTGAAATGATGGTAGTGAAGTTTGCTTTATGGATGTTATCTGCTGTTTCAACTAGCTTATTTTGGCTTGCAGCTTTGGTTAATGGGTTTAAATTTTTACTGTCTCAGTAGGCAATTTACCTAATCATAAGTGATATAATAGGTTGTCATCCATAGAGTTCATAGCCAGAAGGCTTTTCATGTGTCAAAGCAGCTGTGAAGAGAATTCTACATTTGTAAAAAGGTCATGTATTCAGGCTTCATCAGACTTTCCAATATGTTTCAGGATAGCTGCCTGCAATGTTTTATATGAGCTGGTAGTTTTTCAAGATATTGTCTACTTCGTTCACTATTTCTTCAAGCAAAACCTTCACTACATATGCAGTCAGCATCCATTGTGCAGTTAATTTCATATTTGCTTGGAATTGGTTAAACCTGATTTAAGGGTTGTTTCTCTTAAATGGAGGAGATTCAATATGGATACAGCACACAGCTATTATCGCCCATTGATATTGTACGTGATGTCATTATAATAATGGGCTATCAGTCAGCTTTAGTTTTTATTGTCCTGTAAAGGTTGTCTGGTTTATCATGTTGAAACCAAAAGTAAAAGTTATTACTGTGAATGCCTTTTAAGGTAGTGACTTGTTCATTCCTCTTTTCAAGTATTTGTCAGGTTTGTTGTATTGAATACAATTTTTGTCTGAATTTCAGGGATGAGGAATTAGAATATTATAGAATATAGTATTTGTCTGAATTTCTGGAAGGAGGGGGTTATCATTATTTACACTACTTATATTCAGACTATTGTACTCAACTTTGTTGTTGTTATCACAGTGTTTCAGCCATTGTGCCCTCCGGCCTTCCTCAGGTGAAGCCTACAGGGAATTCCAAATTGAACACTTTATTTAATCTATGGAGGTAGACTGTTACACAGTTCATATTTAGGGATATTGTCTAGTTCTCATTTTATTACTTGCCTGTTTCACTGAGTTCCAGTACACACTGACCAATTCAGCGATTGAACTAACAACCACTATGCCACCAAATTCACAAACCAATGCTTTTTCACACTATATCATTGCTTAGAGCTTTAAACCTAGCCTTCACTGCTGCTGCCATGTTTTGATTACTACTGCTGCTGCAGTTGAAGACTTGCTGTCATTTGTTTTTCTTTCTTTTTCCTGTAGGCTCCCAGATCAATAGAGACCTGAGGGCACTGGGGTTAAATGTTGTGATAAAAACAACAAAGATGAAGACAATAGTTCAAATATAAATAGTGTAAATAATGAGTAGAATCTGTTAATTATTTTTTATTAAAATGTTTTTTAAAGCTAAAATGAAGTTTATCACAAATGAAATATTTTTAATTAAACACATTTACTATCGATTCCACTTATATGTCTGCATATAATATACTTTTGAATATGCATTCAAAAATAAAAATAGCAGAAATATTTTGTTTTGGCACTAACCATTAACTTCCTTAAGTTCAGCTTCAAAATTTTCTGTCTTTATATTTTCAGCATCTCTGTAAATAATAAAAGAAAACAGTTAATCATTTATGTTCATAGGAATCACATTTTTATTTAAAATGATATAATTAAATATTCAATGCAATTGTCTTAAGAAACAACTCGTACATATCTGCATTATCAAGAATAATTGTCGACTGAGACTGAAGCCACTGCTGCATCAACCAACTGTAGTTCTTAGAGTCATCTACTAGACAGATTAGGTTATCTGGAAGCCAGTTATTTTCAACACACACTTGCCAAAGTTCAGGCTGGGCTGGGGATCCATCTAGGATCCAGCGACCACTCCTAGAAAACAATAAAAGAAAATTAATAAACAGACATTTTGAGAATCCAAGGTAATTTAAGACAAGGTAGGTAAGTAATAATGTAAATAATAAAGAAATTTTTGCTTTCTTTCAATACTGAAAAAAATACTTAAAAAATTAGTCTCAATATGTTTTATGTGAGATATAATGAATAAATATGTATATATCAATCATACTCAATATGTTATATGAAATATGTATATTCTATGTTTACTGAATTCTAAAATGTATGATTGCTTTTTAAGATGTCAGAATATATACCCATATTAAACCAAATATTAGTAATATGCATACTTTTGATACAGTTTGTTAGGCAATGTGCTGAATAAAACAAAGCTTGATTTTAGAAGCAAAAATTATTTTTGTGGCCTATTACAAAGGCAATAAGATATACCTCATATATTTTCCTAAGAAGAAAAGAATTACAATAGCTTTATCTACTGCAAGGAAAGTTGGTTCTCTGTGTCACGCCAGAAAGTTTTTCTTACCTGAGTCCATCCTTCAAATTTATAAATCAACCACTCGCCCTTGCATGGAATACTGCTGCCATATATATTCTGAAACCCCCACTGTTCATCTTAAGGTCCTCAACAAAATCCAGATATGCAATGTGATTGGCCCTGATCTGGCATCTCCTTTACAGTCGCTCCCTCATAGATGTAGCATCACTTTCCTCTGTCTTTTCTACAAATACTTTCATAGTAACTGCTCCAACAAGTTACTTTCGCTGGTTCCCAAATGAATTTAAATGTGCTACTAGATTGGCATCTCAGTCCCACCCTTTCACCGTCAAAATGGTTAAATGTAGCCATCTCTTCTACTCCAATAGCCTAATGTCTCTCACTTCCCATCTATGGAACTCCTTTCCTCTTACTTGCTTCCCTGATAGCTATAATCTCCAAATACAATGTCAATTGACATCTCCAGATGCCTTGATCTATTCCCCATCCTTCTCTTCATTCTTTCCTCTATCATGCCTCTTTACTCTTGCTCCCACTCTCTGTAACCCCTTGCACTCCTTTCTTGGGATGAAATGCTTAAAAAAAAAAAAAAAAAGTAAAGAGAGTAAAGCTCACCAATAACTTTGAAGTTGTAAATGTTGGTAGTAAACCCATTAATCCAGTATCAGTATCAGTTGAGGAATGATATCCACACAGGAAACTAAAACATCTTGAACATTATGTTATTGGGCATAACATTAAAGATAGTGGAAAATCCACTACAGACTATTGTTACTCATTAGATAATGTACCAAGGCACATTAAGAAACCATTACTCCTGTCAATTCTAGCCATTGGGAAGACTCCATGCAGGACAAAATGAACATTCTAAGAGAACATAGTGCATATAAATGATTCCCCTTAACAAAAAATGGGATAGCTGTTGGATGGGAGATAATAGGATTTTTATGATTAAATCCAACAAAAATTTTAAGGAACAATATAAGACAGATTTTGTCTCAAAGGAATATTCACAAATCCCCGGCATTATTGTGAAATATTTTCACCTCCATCACACATGATGTTGTAGAACATTGATTATTTTCAAGTTATGCCTTCATTTTATTACTATCAACCCCAATTCATCTACCTATGAAGCATTATTTAGCAGGAAAACTCCAATATGAAATTTTATAAAATACTTTTGACATGTCCAAACATTAACCATATTTTTTTTATAACGTAACCAATGTTTAATGTTTGAATCACATCTTTACTTTTCTTAAATGAAAATGCACAATATGCTGAAAATGTTACTTACTTTCTTCCCTTTTCAAACTCAGAACCAATAAACAAAATTTCTTTAGAAATAGGCACACTGATATGATGGCTGGCACAACAGAATCTAAAATTATCTTTTTAATGAAATTCATTAAAACTAAATACCCCTAATGCCATCTGACAACAAAAGCAATACATACTTTTTAGGCTACCCAATCATTTAATGTAGATGACTGTATAAGGTTGAAAACAAAAGTAAGGAAATCTAAACAAAATAATTCTCTTGTTTAATAAGTATCAGATGTGATATTTACTCATCTTTCTTATATTCAACACACAACCAGATTCCTAAAAAAAGGATTAAAATTACTAACAATGATAAATGAGACTTGTGTTATAAGTACCACTGTAAGTATAAAAAAAATGCATTTCAATAATATAACAATATATTTTGCTTAGTTTTATCCAATTTAATTTTGCAGTTATTGATTTTGTAAAATTTACTAAAAAATTTGAATTGCAAATATATTGAATTAAAAAAGTTAGCAATAACGTTTATTGTAATTGGTGCTTACTTGATATGACCATGCTGATTGCTTTCTTCTGTTTTCAAGATATTTTCATACAGAATATCAAATTCCTTTTCAGCTGGCAGATTAATTTTTGGTGCTCCACGGTCTTTCATTAATTTTTTAATCAATTCATGAACTTCAGGGTGATCAGCATTGATGATTGAAATAGCATCATCAATTGTTGCTTTAAATTGAGGATCTAATTGGGATTCTGGTAAATGTAGAAAATAAAACCTCAAAATTAATAAGAAAGAATCAACACAGATGTGGCATAGTCAAAGATGAACAGAGTTCAAAACAAGAAAAAAAAAAAATTAACATGAAAATAAAAAAGAATTAAAATTTTTAACCTATGAGGGACATTAATGCAAACATTAATTCTTTTTAGATTGACAAATTTACTCTTGATTTAGTCAAAACATTTTAAAGTCAAGCATAACAGAAATAATATATACTATGAATAAAACTATCTTTTTCTTTACATCTCACTTGAATACAAATATCAAAATATATTTTTCTACATTCTCATGGCTATATCTCTAATAGATATAAATAAATATGTAAATGGTAATAGTAGCTGTTTCCTTACAAGGAAACATTTAGCATTCATTGACCAGGCAGGCAGAACTATTTTCACTTGAATTTTATAAAATTTTTCTCTTAAAAAACTTTTTTTTGGAAAACAAGTTTCTCAAGCAGGAGGAATGAAAATTTGTTAAATTATAATTAAGTGGTAAATTGTGACCTCAAGCTACACTTCTTTATGAAACACTTTCAAGTTATAATACAAATAGAAAGTGGATTTTGTGAGTTACATCAGAACATAACATTATAACAGATATTCATTGTTTTTTTAATTTATTTTTTTTTAAAATCATTTCATCCCAAGTAAAAACTGGAATACCATTAATGCACAGGGGTTACAGGGAGTGAAAGTGAAAGAGAATACTGAAAATAGAGAGGATTGAGGAAAAGACAGAAGGTGGTGATTGATGTTGCATTTAAATTTTTGAAGATTGTAGTTATCAGGGAAGCAAGTAAACAGAAAGTAGTTCCACAGGTAGGAAGTAGAAGAAAAGAAATTATTGGAGTAGAAGTGGTTGTTGAATTTAGCTATTTCAAGAGTAAAAGATTGGGACCTAGATACCAATCTAGTAGCATGCTTAAATTCATGTAGTTGAGGCACCAGGGAAAAAAAGCTCATCAGAGCAGTTGCCATGAAAATATTTGTAGAAAAGATAGAGGAAAGCCATGTCATGTTAGTGAGAAAATGACTTAAGTCGAGATGCCTGGTCAGAATCAATTACATTACAGATCCTTCTTTTGGATTTTGTCAAGAATCTTGAGATGTACATCAGGAGCAGCAGAGCAGATATGGCAACAGTATTTAATGCATGGACAAATGGTAGATTTGTAAATATGCAAGATGGATTCTGACAAGAAAAAATTTTTGGCATGACACACATTTTACTTAAAAGTTTTATAATCAAAAACTCAACATGATTATGAGTGGATTTTTCATCAATGAAGTCAAAAATCTGTAACTGTCCAGTAGCAAGAATTAAATTGTAAACCTTAACTTGTACAATCCAGAGCATTAACTCCTTAGATGATAATCCCAAATACTGCACAATGCCAGTATGTATAATATGAAGTGAATAATAGTAAGGACAGTATATAAAAATCAAACAAAAAGGTAACTGATCTTTGCATATTTTTCTTCTTCAGGAAAACTACCCTAACACAAAAAGGATTGTTATTTTTGTCCTAATTTCAGGTCATACTCAATGCTTAAAATCAGTTGAAATTAAAAATTATTACTGTTGTTGAAAGAATATTTATTTAATTTATCCTTGTACAAATACAAAAGAAGGAATGCTGCTTATTTCCAAAAATTTCAGTACAGACTGTGATTATAACTTCAAGTTAACTCCTGTTGGAGATTGTGTAAGAGTGAAACTTGAGTTACAACAAGAGCATATCCTTTCATAGGATTGAACGTTATTAAGTATTTCTTGCTAGGTCTAAGCAATCTAGGCTTCAAGCACTTTACTGAATATGTAAGTTTACCTTTAGGCCTATTTCTCTTTCTTTTTTCAGTATTGTTACTTTTATTTGAGACTTTATCTAGATAAGAGTTTTAGGTTTTGACAAGATATGCATTAGTTCCACCAACAGTTTTTGTTTTTCTTTAATATGTGTGTGTGTATATGTTCTGTTGTATGTAATAAAATATACAGATAGTTGTGAAAGTGATAATTTGTGAAAAGAGATTCAGTAATTATTGCTAGTCATACAAACTGAATCAAACATTCATACAGGAAATGATAAAAAGAATTAAAAGAGAATTTATTAACACATTACAAAGGAAACATTAGACTTAAATATAAAGAGAAAATTTACACTAAACTTTCAAAATCTTAAAATCTTTCAAGGGTCCCTTTGCCAAGGTAAATTTTTTGTACACCTTATGAAATTAACATTGAATTTTAGTTATATATAATGTAAAAACCAATTAAATAATTATTTGGAATGACTTCAAATACAAAAATATTCCCATACTCATCAATACAAATACTAATACAAAGAAAGTGGAGTGTAAAACAACACTTACCATCTAAAATCTCATCTTCTTGGTTACTCTTTTGATGAGTGTCTTTAGCAACTCCAGGTTGAGCAGACTGCATGACTTTTGGGTCCTCTGAAGAGTCATCTTCTTCCACTTCCGTTTCATCCTCTTGGGTCTTTTCAGCATCTAAAACAGGCTCAGAAGCCTGCATAGACTAAATTAATGCAGTTTGTTATTTGCAATCAGAGAATACATGCAAGAATATATGCTTTAAGTGGTTGTGAATAAAATTATGCATGGATACTTAATTGTGAATCTGAATTAATAAAATAATACTTTCTTCAACAAATCAGTATAATAGATCTTTTAATTCAGTGAATATTCCATGGATTAATCAAAAGAGTTTGTAGTTGTTGTAAACTATTCTACTGTTGTCATAAGTTTGAGTACAAATCTGGTCTCAGCAGAACAAACTTCTATGAATATGACATACATTTTTTAATATACATTTTATTTATGTCTTCCTGCTAATTATACATTACAACTTGGAGTTTAAAAAACAAGCTAATTTTTATATGCAGCATATTTTCAAGAAAATATATATTTTTGCTCTGTTCAAAAATGGATTTCAAGGAAATTAATTTCTACTTTGGTATAATCTTTGTTGATAAATAAAAATGATGCCAATGAGTACAAAGTAATCTTCAATTCACAAAGATATAACTTAATAATTTTATTTTTGTAAATGAAAAGAAATTTCATTTGCAAATAGAATATTTCTTTTAAATTTGCTTAAATTGTTTACTACTCTTATATTACAGCAAAAATTAATACTATATAATTCATACAAAATTTATTACTGGAACAGAAAGAACCCAAGGTATAACTTTTCATTATTAATTTTTGAGTAGTTTTTTCCCCCTTATTTTTGTTTCTTAATAATAATACTTATTGTGTTACAATTAAACCAATGGCATGAATCAGAAAGAATAAAATAACTTCTAATGAGAATACAAGTTCAAATCTTGTTGGAAGTTATTTACTAATTTTTGATCCAGGCTCCTTACTTAACAGAACATAGATTAATTTAAGCATTGCTTATCAAAAGCAAAAGCAAAACTGATCAAAAATGAATAATGAAAAAATACTTCATCTCAGAAATTCAGAAAACTTGAGACTATTATGCACCTCTTTCTTTTCTTTTTCTTCAGCAGCATCTTGATCTTGTTCCTCGGTTTCAAGATTTTTTTCTTTCTCTTCATCACTCTCTACATCAGATTCTTTTTCTACTTCTTCAATTCTGGTGAGTTTTTTGTCAACTGCATTTAAAATTGTGAAATAATTTATTGGTTAATATTTCCCAAGTTGTAAGAACAAAAACTACGTTGCATCAAAAAGTTGTAAATATAAGAATTATATATATATATATATCATAAAAGTGTAGTTTTAAAGTATGGTATATTTATGGGTTAAAGTGCTTAATAACAGGGACAGAATGTATGTAAATATAAGAGTGTACACTGAGGTTAGTACACAGTGGTGACAGTCTGTTTCCATCTTAAAAGCAATCTTCAGGCCATATGTATTTTGGTTCAACTATTTATATATGTTGGTCAATGGTGCATTATGGGTAGAAAGTTTATGGTATTATGCTAATGGTTATTGGGTGGCCAGTAACAATTATGTTTCAAATTATTCTAGAGGTTATTAAGTAGAAGTAATTGTGTATCCAAATGTAGTTATTTGTAACTATTTTATAGTGTTGTTTATGAACTCTCTACTCATTATTTATTATTTTCTTCCATTTCATAAAATGCATCTATTGAATGCTTTGGTACACATCATCAGTGGTGTTTTTAGCTGTGGTTTATTAGGCGTTTTGGATCTTTCAACGTCATACCCCCTCTCCGTCATGACCCAGCCAATACTGATCGGGTATCAACTTGTGTACCATCCATTAGCTACAATTTTCTCCATCTCTCCAACCACACACTGTGACTCCTCTTGGCAATCTCAAGTAACTTCTGGTTCACCAGCAATGTACACTCTTCCATAAAAAAAAGAAGAAAACACAACCATAGTTTCTATCTGGTAAGAAACATGGTGATGCACTTAACTTGAAGTGGTAAATAACAATTTGTTTCCCCTCACTGAGATATATATATATATATATATATATATATACATACATACATACATACATACATACATACATACATGCATGCACACTCATGAAAACACACTCATGAATCACATTCTTCTTACTCTTTTGCCATTTCCATTCATGTTAATCATTCACCTGAAAAAAAAAAAAAAAAAAAATTTGCCCCCCATGTCAATTGCACACTCACACATACCTAGACACACACACATACACTCACACCAACAAAACTGTAACCTTGGTAGGAGGGCAAACAAGTGCTAGATCTCAGCCACAGATCACCCATAGGTAACAATGGTTTGGGGCACCCTAATTCTGTCCCCTAGTCGAGACTCCATTGTCGGGTGTAGTTTTAGATCATACCCACGATCTACCCACCCCCAAGATAAAACAATAATAATACAAAAAATTAACAAAAAATAAACAATAAAAAAATAAAAATAAAAATATCAACTGCAATTTCCTTCCATCTCCTTACTGAACTGCCAATCACTTGATCTTTTCAGCCACAGCCATCTAGAGGCTTCTTCTGCTGCCATTGTTATTGAACAAATAGTCTTGTTCTTTTTCCAAACCTGTTACACCTAATTTTGGCAACATCTTACATAGTGATCTCTCGGCAAAGCCTCTGCAACTAACTTCAATCAGTTCACACTGAGCTCACCTACCATGCCTTTTGCATACCTCTACAATCTGTAAATATTTCCCAAGTTTCCTTTCATGAGTTTCTTCCGTTTTCTTTCCAAGGGATTGTTAATTCTAACATGGTGACTTGTTTGGTCTTTTCTGAATAAATAATCATGTCCGGACAAATCTTAGTCTGTATTATTTTCACTGGGAATTTTAACTGCCTGCCTCTATCTACTATCATTTGCTAGTGGAAGATGCAAGTAGTGGTGTTCATCCATCTTGCTTAGACTGCCATCATTCTGAGCTGTCAACTGTCTCTCCAGTTGTCACCAAAACTGTTCTCTGATTGTCATCTAGACTATTCGTAGAGGTCACTGAATTATTCAGAGTTCCCTTTCATAAAATACATCTATTGGATGCTTTCGTACATATCATCAGTGATGTTTCTAGCCATTTAGTAGATTACTTGTATTTGTTGTTGATTATTATTATTACATTTACTTGTGTTTATGTGTGCATTCATAATTTTTAATTTGCTTATTTACTTACTTTGTTGACTTATTTATTTTATTTTATATTATTTTGCTCTTTTACTTTATTTCTGGTGTTGTTTATTTTATTAGTCTAAAGTATTGGCTTGGTCTAAATTATGTTTTATTATCTACGTTATGTGTAGTGATTATATTTGCATTTTTCCTGGTTGTATTTTACAAAATATTCATTTTAAGTTTTCAATTTTTAAGTAATGTAATAAAAATCTGTCTTCATGTCTAAATTTTGAGAAGTTCTGATCATTTATTTATTGTGTTGACATTGGAAGGTGATTATAGCTATTTTCTTCTCCAAACAGTTTACAGTTTGGGATTTATTGTTGTAGGCTGATGCAGTTTTCTTTATTTTCCATGATATTTTGGGTGTAAATCTTTTTGTTTTTAATTTTCTATATATGTTTAGAAAGCATTGTTAAACAACATTTTGTTATCACTATCTTCAGCCATCTTCATAATTTTATCCTTTCAGAGCCTTTTTATCTTTCATGGCAAAGAATTGCTACAGATGACTTTTATAAGTTTTATTTACAGGAAATTATTTTTTTTCATAGAGAGAATTCTGTAGAGACCAAAATAAATAACAATCTGAAGAGGCAATATCTGGTAAATCTGGAAAGTTAATGAAAACTAGTAACAATTTTTTCCCAATTTCCAAAGAAACATGCAAAGAAAAATCTAGTATTATTTTAATAGAATAGTATTTCCATTCTGTTAAATTTTAGACACTTGCTACCTTCACTTGCCTAATTGGGAATAGTACTTTTTTGAATGAATCATTTAGGTCTCTGGAATAAGCTCATAATAAAGAAATTCCTTCCAATGCCACATAAACATAGCATCAACTTTTCTGAACTTTGGCATGGTTAATGGTGGTTCATTTTGCATGCCCAATAATCTCTGATATTCATCTGCTGTTGTAAAGTGTCCACTTTTCTTGTCACAAATTTATTTCAAAACTGGAACATTTTTGTTAAATTTAAGTAGTAAATCAATAAAATATAGTCCAGTAGTACTTACTTATGTGGAAGCGACATATGAAAGTGATTAACATAATCAAACTAGCAAAAAAGATAGTCTGCACTTGTTTTGTATATGTTTGCATTATCTTCTGCATTATATAATATTGATTATTATCAAGTAATGTTTTATTTTGATTGTTATTAGACTCAACTGGTCAGTACAAATATTTACAAACAACTTTAGACATGTTTTGTCATTCACAGTATCTTTTCCATAAACTACACAAACTATTTTTTTTGCATCTGAGATGCATTTTTACTTTTCTGATAATAAAAAATAGCATATTATTCTGAAAGTTTTTTTTTTTATTTTTGTTATACTCTGCTTCACATTCTTTCTGATTTACTTCATATCAAAACTTGGGGGCCGGATATGAACACTACACAAGCAAAATTAAAAATAAAAAATTCACTCTCTGTGCAGGGACTCCAAACATTGTATCCAGCTCACAAATCAAATAAAGATAAAATAAAATTTAAATGTTGGACCCAACCACAAATGTTGCTGCTAAAACAAAAACATGACAAAAATGCTGAGTCTTGTATCTATCCTGAGAGTTCACAGTGACCAGTCAACTGACTTAATATAAGCTTCAACTATTTAATTTTTAAGATCAAACTCCTCCACTCACAAGTGTCACCTTCTTCACCTACAAGAGACATTCTACCTTGATCTAAAGTACAGATTAGTAATATAAATAATTTTATTTTAACCTGTTTTGTCTCCTTCTCTTTCTGCCTGACCAGCAAGACATTGCCAGTTTTTGTTTGTTACTCTTCCAAAAATACACAGTATATAATATTTGCTTCCATATTCAATAAATAAAAATATCATGGCACACACACACACACACATATATATATATATATATATATATATATATATCATTGTAATAGTTTATTAAATAAGTTTTCTATTCCTCCTCTCTTCAATCAATTTGAGGTGTTAAAATCTTCTGCTAAAGTTGAATGTTTTGCCCATAAATTCTTTTTAAACTCTACACTTACTCTTATCCTTATCTAACTGCTCACCTAGAAATGAGTCTGTATGAGTGATATGCATATAACCCCTTCCAAGCTTTCTGCTATCATCTCTAATTGAGATCCCCCACAAAGCATGTGGACCTAATAGTATCATTATAATAGTTCTTAAGTGGGCTCCTAAACTGGATCTTCTTGTCTCTAAATTGTACAATAAATGCTTTGCCACCTCTTGCTTTCCTGCCTGTTGAGAAAGGCTCCTCTATTGTTTCAGTTTTTAAGAACTCAGGTGAACTGTCCAGCCCTTCCAACTATCAGACTATTATATATATATATATATATATATATATATATATATATCTAGAGAGAGAGAGAGAGAGAGAGTGGGGGGAGGTCAAAGAGAGAAATATATAGATTAATTTGAGAATTATTAATTTCTACTATTGATGAAAATCTGTCACCTTCTATATATGTCTCTACACTTGCAAATATATGTTTTGCTGTATAAAAGCAATGTGAAAACATATAACAAATCCTTTACCTACTATGCATAGCTTGATATTACATAAACCATTATTTACTTTTTTTTCAAAGAGACAATTTTGATGAAACTTTCTATTGATTCACAATGTTTATATTATCTTTGTATATGTTTCAGAAACCAAGATTAGAAGCAGAACAAAGCAATGTTGTGATTTTTTTAATATAAATTAAGGAGTATTTAACAGAAAACCTCATGAAATTCTCAGTATATGAATATAAGTGTACCACTGCTTTCTAGCAACTGATAGTCTGGCACTTTTTTAATTCTCACAAAATTATATGTAAGCATTTGAATTTCATCTAATTGCCAGACTAATTTGCTAGGTAGCCACAGGTAGCAATGTGTGTGATATAAGTTTCTAATAGACAATGATGCTGTAGAGAAATATAATTAATAGGCTAGAGGTGTATTTTTGAATTGTTATTATGTTACTTGTTGACCCCTCAAAAAAATAATCTGACATGGTTCTGGAACCAAGAATGTAGGAATATTGGCATCATACCTATATTACCATTCAAATAAGAATTCTCAAACAACTCTTGACATTTATATCATGTTACTCAAACTCCTATGTTTCTCTTAGTGGTAGTCTAAATTGAATATATGAAAAGTAGAGATTATATTCTCTCTATGACAAGAACGATTTGTGTGTCTACTCATCAACCACTGTGATATATGACTTTACAACAGTTGCAATTATTGTAATATCTATAAATTGAGATGTATAATAAGATATTTCTATGGTTGAATTTGAAAGAGACATTAATATGTAGGATATTGCATACTCAATATATTTTGTCTCTGATTCACTTTTCAGTTAAAATAATAACATATATCAACATAGTGGGATATATATAAAATGAATACAAAATATAAGATGAATGAAAAAACAATGTAAAAGATTATGATGTAATGCATACACCTGGGTTCCCCCCTCACAGTAATATGATTGGCTGGTGTCAGTCATAAATACAGACTGATGTGGAGGTACATGGATGATGCCTATAGTCTTCGCCTATTGCCTACCACTACGACGAGGACCAGTCCATTATGGTTACCTGCTAAATTGTCCTACTCAGTTACAGTAGTCCAAAACCACTTTGCTACTTCGAACAAATATATCCCTTTTTGGGACATATCAGATTATAAGAGAGATAAATAAGACTGAGAAAGAAAAGGTGGAGAAAATAGAAAGAAGAAAGCAAGTGAACAGAAAATGTGAAATGGAAAGAGGGAAGAAAAGAGAAAGAATTGTAGAATAATAACATGTATTGCATGAACATATTCTGTTACACTTTAGTATAACTGCTTTCTCTGCTGTCATCCTTTCTATTGGCAGTATATTTTCTCATCTACCTTCTTTTGGCAAGTATTCAAAATGTAACAATTGAGGAAATTAATGAAAGAATTAATAAATGAACATATAAAATTTTGGATTTGGGAAAATATACAGAAAAAGAAACAGCTTCATATATTCACTCAAAAAAAAAAAAAAATTCATATGAATTCTTTCCATTATTTTTGTTGACGTCAAAATTTTGTTCATTTTGACTTCAACTTTTGAAGATGTAAAACATTACAAACTCATTATATTTTTAGAGACTTTTTGGTAAATAGTAAAGACTTTTTAATATTTTATTATATGATATCAATTAATAAAAGTTACTGCAGTGGGAATAGTAAAAAAATGTATAAACAAACTGAAAAGGAAAATATTTCTCCTTTTGATCAAATTCAACTGCCTTTTGCAAGTAAGCAAGCTAATAAATATTTATACAACTTAAGCAAATAACAAAAGGAAATGGGATAGGTCTATGGGGAATTTCTAATAATAGAACAATAAGTGATCACTAACCACTCAATCCCATCAGCCTACTAAATACAAGAGGCAAAAACCTCAAAGCAGGTGAAAGTGTTAATTGAATATTTATGAAAGCAACTGCAGTAAGAGACTTGAAAGTGGGACAAGAAAAAGCTTTGGCATTGATGAAGTTGGTTACTAAGGAGACTGCAATGTAACATGTGAATTGAATTGTTATCATTTTTGTTCTTGACAGCAAATCCCAGGATACTTTGCAAAAGGACATTTCTTTTGACCAGAAAAAAGGATTCTCAACATCATGACATTTTTGAATTATTGAAACACATCCATGTTTAGGAAGAAGGTAAGTTAAAATTTGACTTAGTGAGTTTAAGAAGACTAATAATTTCATTTCTGTCTTAATTTCTGGGATGAGAAGTTATGGTTATTTACACTATTTACATGCAGACTATTGTCCCATCAATATGCACCTGATGAAGGCCAGAGGACAAAACAACTGAAACATTGTGATAACAAAGATAAGGACTATGTAAATAGTGTAAATAATAGTAATTTCATTTCTGATGATATTCAAATATAACAGATTATATAAAATAAAGCCTAAATTCTCACTCTGGTATAGAGGTAAATATAGTTACTTTTTTATGAATAGATAAATATATCAACATCAAATATGATTTTAAAACATTTTCTTTCTTTTTTAGTCAAAAAATATAATTAATTGTTAATGGCTTTAAAGATAAATTTATTTGCTGATTACATGCTAATTTGAATATTATTATTTGATTATTATTGTTTTATGTAAATACTGGTTTACACATGTTGCCAAAAATGATGGCCTGTTTTATCTGCCACAGTTAAGTTGTTAATAATTAACTTCAGTGAACAGATTATTTACTCTATGAACTCTGTTTTTTGCATTTCTTGCATTTCTCATGGGGCCAATATTCTTGTTCCTACTTTTTGCTCTTCAGTATCTTGTTGAAGACATTCTTCCATTTGCATTTTCATATTTTTCTTCTTGTGTTAGGTTCTTCCTATGTTTAACTTTAATCCTTTCAGCTACACATTCTCTCATAATAGATCTTCTTGCATTAGCTTCTCTGTTTCAGTTTCTCTTCTTTGCACTGTTTTCTCTTCCTCTCTCTCTCTCTGGTTTACTCTCTTCCTATCACCCTCTTATTCTGTCTCATTAGTTCACCTCTGAGCCTTGCATCTTCTGGCTTGTGGTATTATTGCTTCATGACATTCCTGTAATGCCTGTGAATATCTTTGCCTATCAGCTTCCTCCCATACAGGTATCTGTTCCTGAGATAAGCGTAATCGCTGCCTTCATTTTAATCTCTTCTTTGCTTGTTCTAATCTCCTTTCTTCAAGGTAATTTTCCATTTCATGATATTCACTGGAACAAAATTTTCTTAAATGCCTAAAGCAAAGTAAAACATAGGGAGTCATTTAAATTTAATTCCACATTTATAAAGCAAGTTTATGTTGAAACTTGGATAGTAATGATAAAAAAATATAGTTAAATAATAAGAGAACTTGTAATTACACCTACAATATCAATACTAATAGTTATTCAATTGTATATTTTGAGGGGAAAAGTGTGTTGAATGTAGGATAACATAATTCACATATTCAGATAAAATATATAGTGACTGGTGTATTTTTTGCACCAACATTAATAAAAAAAATGTGATATATTTGTTTGAAAGTAATTGTTACTTGTAAATAAATGCTTATTATTACTATTTCTATTTGAGTTTGTTTCATTAGGCCCTCATATGGGACAGGAAATATATAAATAAATACACATTGATAATTATTATATGGTTTGATGATTACACATATATAATGATTGGGTCTGAAATATGAACAGAAAGAATAAGTAGTCTATTTGTAATATAAAGAACACTTATAAGGCTCTTTATGTTGAACTGCTGAAATTTTACATATGCATAAAAATTGCTGATAATAAATTAAACAAAAAAATAAGTATTTATTTAAATAAAGGACATAGTACAAATTGTGTATCATCTATTGATTTTATTGATAGTATTACTATTTACATTATATTTTAAAGTGAATCCTTGGCACATTACTCACAAAGTATGAATAAAACTTTTTGCATTAGTCTTATTAAATTTGTTCAACAGGGTTTTATTGATGTTGAAGCAGATTGTTTAACTAAAATATACTATCACTGTTAAAGTAATTATTATGAATATGTGATACTGTTGTCATCAATATTACAGAATCCCTTTGATTACACTGCAAATTCCTTTCAATAGTCTCAAGTGTCTAATAACAAAGGTAGCTTGCCAGAGAATTAGAAAAATGAGTGCAAGTTAATAACTGTATCTATTGAAACATGCAGACAAGACATAAACCTCATGCATTCATTATCCTCTTTGTTTATTACCAAGTTCATATTTCTACAAATCATTAAAGTAGACATAGTAATCTAATGTACTAAAAACAATATATATCTATTGGTATATACATATATATATGTGTGTGTGTGTGTGTGTGTGTGTGCTTATAATAATTGATTATCAATATTTTGAGAAATACAAGATAATGGAATTTTACCTCTGTTTTTTACCAGGGTTTCTTATCTAAATAGATTGTGATAAATTATACTTTGAGTGGAGTGCTCAAAGTAGTGCAGTGATTAATGTTCTAATATCACAAACCACTGATAGTGAATTTGAACAATACAAAATACTCAAGAAATATGACTCTGAAGTATATTTCATACAATAAATACCTATTACTGATATATAATGCTTTTCAAAAGTTCGCTCTGTTCCCCTCACCCTCCCCACCTAATCCAAATTGTGAAAAGTGAAGAAATTACAATTAATTTGTATGCAAAAAAATTGTGCATTCCCAAGCACCTCCTCCCAAATAACCTTTTATGTCTGCGTACCTTAATATTAGAAGTTAAGGGACACTATCTGCCATGGCTCATGTGGAAAGCTTGAAATATGACAATACATTTGACTGTTTAGCCTCATACATTTTTCAAACATAGTATTTTGTAGGTAGAATAAAAATTCTGCAAACATAAGTGCCCTTTAAAAATTAAAATCATACTGTATACCTTAAAAGAAATTGTTCTATCATTGAACTATATTTGTAATAGTAGCAAGTCAGTGAAGCAATATGTTGATGTGCATATCTCATAGGAATTTCAGATTTTACAATAACTGAATAAAATGTGAGAAGGGATGTCCTTTTATTGGTTGGACATCAAAGCTTTTCTTAATCTCTATGGATTAGCAATAAACACCATTTTTGTTTTAATCATTTCATCCCAAGCAAAGCAATAAAATCCACTAAGATGCAAGGGACAATAAAGACAAAGAAGACAATAAATTCAAGGAGACAGAAGAAGACGACTGAAGTTACACTTGAATTTTTGAAGATTGTAGTTGAGAGGAAAGCACAAAGCCTGAAGATATTTCTACAAGCAATAAGTGCAAAAGAAGAAACTATTAGCATAGAGCTTATGGTTACATCTAGCAAGTTCAACAGTATTATGATGAGCCCTAAGTGCCAATCTAGCATCACACATAAATTTGTGAATCAAAATACTAATGAGGAAAGCTCATCAGAACAATTTCCATGAAAATATTTATAAATTACAGTGCAGTATGGAGATGGGAAAGTGACTGAAGCCTAGATGTCAAGTCAGGATGGATAACATTGCAGATTCTAATAGTACCATCAATAGTATTGATGCTATTGTTTGTAGTTTAATATTCTACCATTCATTTTTATAAGCAAATGCAATATATTCTGTTACAAAGGAAAATATTTTTAAAAATATTATAAATTGTGTGGTGATAATTCAATTAAAACAATTATAGTATGCATTAAATGCATATAAAGATGATATTTTATTTGCTCATACAGATAAAACTTATATATATGTATATATGTTTGATAAAATATATACATTTGATCAGTTAACAATCATTCTATATTAGATTAGGACCTATCACTTTGCTAACAACAAGATGATTAAATTTAAAATCTAAATTGTTTGTCCATTTAAAATACTACATTTATCAGAAAATATATTCAGTTTAAATACAGGAATCATGAAAATGACTTCCAAGGACCACACATTTTGGTTTATGCTCTTATCCTGTTACCCAGAGATTGTTACCAGACAGAAAGGGAAATTAAACCTTGCAACACAAATTTCCATTTCATTTGAAGTGTGTATGTATGTTTGTGTGTGCACATGTACATTTTAATCTAATAACAGACCTAAAATTTATTTCTAAAAATTTAAAAACAAATCTTTAAAAAATTCTATTTTTACTAAATAATTTCCAAAAAGTTTAATAAAATCTTATAATCATCTAATGTTTTTAGAGTTTAAAAAATTGTGCTTTTTTTTTTGTTTTCAAATTTATAATTTTATTGTACAGCCCAGGGTAGGGGTTATCC